TGGTTTAGGTTAGCGGTGTGTTAGGTTAAGTTAACAATGAATTAGATTAGGTGAGTGTTGAATTAGGGACGCGATATGTTAGGTTAAACTAGGTTAAGTTGGGTTAAGTTAGCGTTAGGTTAAATTATGTTAGGTTAAGTTGTGTTTGGTTATGTTGGGTTGGTTAAACTTCAGGTGAACTAAGCTGGGGAGATTAGGCTTCAGGTTAGGTTAGCTTAGCTTAGGTTGGATTGGGTTGGTAAATCTTCAGGTGAACTAAGCTGGGGAGACTAAGCTTCAGGTGAGGTCTCGAGATGTTTGTTCAGTCTGGTGGTTTAGCAGACAAGGGCGGGTCATCCACCTCTCTGAAGGCGTCCAACCAAGGAGACCCCCCTGTGGTAGTGCCCTCAGGAGATCACCTTCTGCAGGAACACTGGCTTAGTGTGTGTGTGTGTGTGTGAAGTAATGCAGAGAGAGAGAGTATTGTATTATGTACTAACTCACTACCATTAACTATTGAAACACATTAACAGACCTTCATATCAACACGTCTATCGATCAGCGGTAAACACAACTCTCATCTTTATCACCACCTATTTGAATTTCTTTATTTATTGAAGCACAAAAACATTTATTACATTAAGAACTTCGTCGTGTTGTGAATTTTTTTTGTCGAGTAAAAAAATCGTAATAAAAATGGTATCGTGATTTAAATGTCTTATTAATTACAGAACTACTTCGACCATTGTTTAAGATTGTTCAAGTGTGGAGATAAGAGCCTGATGGTAATTATTATATTGTAGAAACTTAAAAAAAAATAAAAGATGAACGATCGATCCAGGTAAATGGAACACCTGAAACAAAATGAACATGAGTCGTACAGATGAACCTTAATAATAGACGGAAAAAACTGAAACAAAAGACGAACGATTGTAAACACCGAAAGTAAACAATCTTAAGGAACATAGAGAGACTAACTACATAACTTAATGGTCTGAAAGGAGGTCTCTACATCTACACGAGGTTGCTGTAGGTAGTGATGACAGACCTCACCTGAAGGGAACTACATTAATCCACGTCTTACCTGTGTCTACACCTTCCACTGTCTGTAAAGTGCTGGAAGTTGTCATTACTTATAAACACTTTCCATGACGTATAAGTGACATAGAAATTGACAAATACAATATTAAGCAGGAAGTTATTTAAGTACATAAGTGGCAAGTGGAATATTAATTAGAAAGTTACTTAAGTATCTTCTTAAGTAACAAGTGATACATTAACCAGAAAGTTACTTGAATTACCGTACCGTATAAGTAACATATATACAGTACCAGGTAGTTCTTCAGAGTAACAGGAACAGTAATCAGTCTTCCACCATCATCATGCCCGCCAAGTATTATGAAGGTAAGGTGTCTTGTATAATGTACCTATAGTTATCTGATCTTGATTAATTTACCTAACCTAACCCTTTTAGGCCTTTCATTGTATTGGGGGGTGTAGTACATGACGTCATAGATCTTCGTGACAGTACATGACGTCATAGAATCTTCGTGACAGTACATGACGTCATAGAATCTTCGTGACAGTACATGACGTCATAGGCTCCTAGTAACTGTAACTCTCACATCAGCCGCTAGGACTCCCCGTGTCGCTGTAGTCGGTTAAGGTATATTCTTAAACTTTGTCTCTTAACTCTCCTACCCACCCACCCACCCACCCACCCACCACCACCTACCTACCTGCCTCCTCACCTGTGTCCTAATGACCTTCACTACCTCCTCCTCACCGCTGCCAAGGTCTCGTTGATTATAATCGTCAAGACAAAAGACAATCGGGCAGTGTTGACAAGGAGGAAGATATTTTTAAGTAAACAGACACGCCCATCGATGACAATAGTGATGATGAGTGTGCGGTGATAAAGAGAGGTGAGGAGTGGGAGGATGGTGAGGGAGTGAGAGGATGATGAGGGAGTGGGAGGATGATGAGGGAGTGGGAGGATGATGGTGGGGGTGAGAGGATGGTGAGGGAGTGAGGATGGTGAGGAGAGTGGGGGGGTGATGGAGGAAGTGTAGAAGCCGTGGAGGAAGTATGCTGACAGACCAGCTTCGCTTGGCTGACTGTCCACGGCTGACAGCTTAAGTTAATGATGTAGCGCTGGTCAGGAGGAAGAGGAAGGAGAGTAGGAGGAGGAGGAGGAGTAGAGGTAAGGGAAAAATTCAGCACTGTACTTGGAGAGGATCACATGAAGTATAGACACCCCTAGCTTATTTCACCTGAAGATTATTATTAAGATTACTATTATTATTACTATTATTATTATTATTATTATTATTATTATTATTATTATTATTATTATTATATTTTACATCCCATCCAACACCATTCATTATTCACATACACGTTATTTCAGTCTTACGTTGGATAAACTGTATAAAAATGTAAAAAAAAAAACTGCCTCATTTGTCTTACACCTAAAAACTTAGCTGCGTAATCCTGATAAAGTGCGTGGTGTTGTGGTAGGTGCGTTGCTGTGGTCAGTGGATGTTATCCAGCCTTGTGTGTGTGTGCCAAGCTCTGTGAACCACTGGAAAATAAAATGAATCTTGATCCACCCAGCGTTTGTCCAGTTGTCTCTCGAGGATCATTGTTGTGTTGAGAGGTGTACGTGTGGGGGTGGTGTACGTGTGGGGATGGTGTACGTGTGGGGATGGTGTACGTGTGGGGCTGGTGTACGTGTGGGGCTGGTGTACGTGTGGGGCTGGTGTACGTATGGAGTGGTGTACGTATGTATGTCCTTGGTGATGGACGTTACGCTCATATGTAAAGGATGTGGGCGCCGCCTTGGTCCCGCCTTCTGTAACTGGGTACACACACACACAAAATGTCTGAACTGTAACTGGGCCGCCCATTGTATAGCTTTCATTGCTGGCTAGATTGGTGCACTCACTCACTCACTCACTCATTGTGTTTTTGTACAATGTTAAAAACGTTTGGCTTCATAAAGAATATCATATGCTGTCGAGTTATCCTTGGTCACAGTGTTTCACTGTTTACTTGTGTTATTTACCTGCACTGTCGAGGTACACCGTATACCTGTCTGCCCTGTCTGTATACTCGTTTGATTAGGTTTGGTTAACATTGGGTTAGATTAGGTCAGGTTAGGTCAGGTCAGAATTGGTGTGTGTCTGGCTGTCTGTTTATATATATGTATTTTAGTTGTGTGTGGTAATAATAATAATAATAATAAACGGTTTATTAATAGAGTTGCAGCAGGTGGCTGAAAATATACAGACTTACATTTGATTTAGACATAATGATATAATATGCGTTCAATACATTTACAGGGCTGTACAGTACATAAATCAGGAGTTGTTTATTATTTTAACAATAGATGGGATGGTGCTGTTCTTATATCTATCGGTGCGGGCTCTTGTGTGTGTGTGAGAGGGGTTAAGCCATTGAATTCGAGAGAGAGGTTGTCAAAGTTCTCTCTTTATCTCTCTCTTAAGTACCTCATTCGAAACCCTAAGAACTGTTCAATACAGGATGTTTACCTGTTGTTATACTTATTAATGAAGTTGTACGGTGGATAGATAGATAGATTTTATGACAATGTTACCAAATAGATGTTATTGTAATGTTTGAGTTGTCGTGTTAATTTTGTCATCACAGAAAACGGCAGTGCCTGGGTACTGTGAGAAAACCAACAGTTGAAAGGGATAACTTGTGTATATTTCGTGGTGGGGTTTTATTATTTATCTTTCTCATTATTTCTGCTCTTTCTTTGTCTCTCTTCTCTCTTTATTTCACCTCTTTCTTACTGTCTGTCCTTTGTATTTATTTTGCGTCTCTCTCTCTCTCTCTCTCTCTCTCTCTCTCTCTCTCTCTCATATGCTATAGGCTGTGGATGAGAGTATTTAATGACTCGACAACTACCACCAACCAACTACCTAATTACCTGGCCGCTCGTTAAGGGTGATTAAGGAGGGATAACGAGGTAAGGACGCGTGCGCTCGACTGCCATATGGCCTGGTTAACACACTCTTGTTCAGTACAGACGTCCTGTGACGCACGCGCGCGTACTCGCATGCACGTGCGCGCCCCCACCCCCCCTGACACACACGCCCTTCCTGCCCTGGTCTAAGTGGTGGCGATGCACCCCCACACACACACACACACACACACCCCACACACACACACACACACACACACCCCACACACACACACACACCCCACACACACACACACACCCACACACCCCCACACACACCCACACACACACACCCCACACACACACACACATACCTATCTATGTATGTTATAATATGTGAATTAAATGCTGTAATTGTTGCTTATGTAATAGATGTATACGTGTGTGTCGCGGAAGGGTCACACGCACACTACAACACCATTGACATAACTAGAGCCTCCCTGATTAGAGTTGTCTCTGTGTGTCTGTCTACTTTCGTGAGTCTGTTTCTGTTTATCCGTCTGTTTACTTGCGTCTGTCTTTCGGTTTTATTGTCTATTTGTTGTCTGCTTCTGTGTTCTTGTTGCCTGTCTATATCTGTTTGTCTGTCAACTTCTTTGTGTCAGTCTGTTTTTTTTTCTGTGTTTTTTTATGGCGTCCAAGTATTAGTCTCGGAAGATAATAAATTCACGTTAACTGTGTAGATTTCCGCTGGTTTATTTCTTCAACACGCAAAAAAGAAATTGATTTATTTGTCCTGAGAGAGAGAGAGAGAGAGAGAGAGAGAGAGAGAGAGAGAGAGCACCATCCCTCCAACCAATACCTCCCTCCCTCTACTCCAACACCTCCCTCCCTCCCTCTTATACTCCACGACCCTTCACACCACCACCCAGCCCACTACACCTGCACGCCACCACACACACGAACACCCTCGTTTCAACACCGGGCCACAAGTCTTAATAGAGACAAGTTAGTACACACTTAGGAGGCAAGGAGGGCTGCAGGCGACCTCTCCTTCACCACACATACTACACCCACCTAACCCTACCGGCCGGCCAAACAAACCCACCCACCCACACACCCCCACACACACCCACACCCTGTACTGCCTTACGTATGGGCTATGTGACTCCAGTGTGTTCGTGTGTATAATAATGTTTTGTGTGAAGGAAAGGAAAGGGGTGATGGATTTACCCGTGTTGTTGAAAATATAATTCGTGAATGTACAGGTTAATGACGAAGGTGTTAGAAAATTATTTATACTTGAAGTGAAAATGAATCTACGAGTTACTGATGGATTATGGTGTTAAAGGCACTTGTGCTTTTACTGAAAATTAATCTAGATGTTTCTGATAACATATATGGTACTAAAATAACTCGTCCATGAACTGAAAATGGACATACAAGTTACTGATAACACATATGGTACTAAAATAACGAACTGAAAATGAACATACGAGTTTGTGAAAGTGAATGTGCTGGATTGTGACAAAGAATAGAGCATGGAGAAATTTATAAACAGTCAGCTTTAGGGTAATTGCTCTAGGGGGTGATAGAACCGCTGCCTCTCGTGTGTACAGTCACGTCTGAGGCAATTTATAAAAAGGTGTTAATATTTTATGGTGTGGTGATAGTAGTCGGGGTATATCCAGAGTATATTCACAGTGTTTTCAAGGTATATTTGGAGTATATTCACAGTATATTCAGAGTATATTCAGGAGAGTTAGTTTGTATACATTAAGGTCAAGTATGTTGCAGTTTAATGGTGTATCGCGGTGGGTGATTGGTCAAACCGTATTTATTAAGGCTTGTAATGTATATAACCTGGATGCTACAACAACAACAGTATAATACAACATATCAACAATACAATAGAACATAACATAACAACAATACGATAACAACAACAATAAGAGGAACAACACAACATTCACAACTCAACAACACGACACAACACCGCAACACAACGACACGACGCAACACATGGATCATCAGTCACAAACTAACGTGTCGACTTCTGCTCGTGTCGGATTGGTACACAAGTCGATCAATATAGCTTTGTGATCTTGTTCATTTATCTTCCTCAGTCATGTTTCTCGGTTGTATTTCTAAGTCGTGTTTTTTGGTTTAGTCCTCAGTCGTGTTCCTCATCCATGTTCCTCAGTCGTGTTCCTCAGTCTATATCCTCGTGTTTATCGCTTGACTGCCTCACTTAAGCTGTCAGGTTGCATTCGTTGCACGTGATCGGTGTGCAACGAGTTGATTGATTCACTTAACTTCAACTGATATGTCACTCTTATTGTTTGGTTGGGTTTGGTTAGTGTTAGTATCTGGTATTGATTTTAATGTTTTTGTCCTAGTTTCTATTCATTGGGATGTGAGTTATGGGTTGTGAGAAATGATCGTAATGAGTTGTGGTATGCAGGCCAGAGTTGTAAATATTGTCTGGGTCATCATTAATTACCGCCAGGGAGAGTCCAGTCAGGTATTCATTCAGGTGATTAATGCACAGGTGAAGGTATACTACACAGGTGAGGGTATACTGCACAGGTGAGGGTACACTACACAGGTGAGGGTATACTACACAGGTGAGGGTACACTGCACAGATGAGGGTACACTACACAGGTGAGGGTATACTACACAGGTGAGGGTATACTACACAGGTGAGGGTATACTACACAGGTGAGGGTATACTACACAGGTGAGGGTACACTACATAGGTGAGGTATACTACAGGTGAGGGGTACACTACACAGGTGAGGGTATACTACACAGGTGAGGTACACTACACAGGTGAGGTACACTACACAGGTGAGGGTACACACTGCACAGTGAGGTACACTACACAGGTGAGGTACACTACACAGGTGAGGTACACTACACAGGTGAGGGTACACTACACAGGTGAGGTATACTACAGGTGAGGGGTACACTACACAGGTGAGGGTGTACTACACAGGTGGTGCTGCTGGGTGAGGGTACACCACAGGTGAGGGGTATACTACCTGGGTGAGGGGTACACTACACAGGTGAGGGGTACACTACACAGGTGAGGGTACACTACAGGTGAAATTACCACAGGTGAGGTATACTACAGGTGGTACACTGCACAGGTGAGGGTACACTACACAGGTGAGGGTATACTACACAGGTGAGGGTACACTGCACAGGTGAGGGTACACTACACAGGTGAGGGTACACTGCACAGGTGAGGGTACACTACACAGGTGAGGGTACACTACACAGGTGAGGGTACACTACACAGGTGAGGGTACACTACATAGGTGAAGGTGTATTCAGGTATGCACTGGATGTTGTCATGACCTTTCGATGCTGTCAAAATGATCACGTGTGTGCTTGAACCCCGAGGGACCTAATACCAGTCTCGCCACACCCTCCCCTTCAGTCTGGCTTTCCCGAGTCCTAAGAACGAATTCCAATGTCATTCGTTATTTTGACAGCTGTTGTTAGTTAGGTTAGGTTAAAGTACATTTGGTAAGATTAAGGCATAGGTTAAGGTAGATTAGGGTAAGTTAAGTTAGCTTTAACATAAGGATGATTGCTCTTTAAGGTGAAATAAACTCTGTGTGGAGGGCTGATCTTCATGTGGTCCAGGAAGGTTGTGATATACTGTATACAGCTGTTGCTCAGGATATATGACGTACTAGTGCCATATATTGACTTATAAGACGAATTGTTATGATGGTGTTGGTAGTGCCGTAGGACAATCATGTATACTGATTAGAGGACTTGTATAGTGATGGATGGTGAAGGTGACACGTGAATTGTGCGGGTGGTGGTAGTGGTGTCAGTCCTTCCTTGTACAATATAAGGGACAGTCGCTACTACTTACCTCTGTCACTCGTTATAAATACTGAGTGTGGTTTGACATTTCACAGCTCTTGAGAAACATATCGATATGGTCACCTGTCCAAGGAGACCACAGAGCGGAAGTTTACAAGTGATCATTAATATCGAATTGTGTTTCTAAATCTCTGTTAATGGCTCAACCAGATGATCAGAATTACACTGAACATACATTGAGGCCTCAGTGTTTTATCTCAGTGTGGAATGTTACATAGACAAGGTGTGTTCTTACATAACTTTAAGAACAAGTACAGGAGAAGTGAACGCTGTTAGAGAGGTTGTGATGCGAGCCTCGGCTGTGTTGCAGAATGATCGTCAGTGTCCTATAAACTAAGAGAGTCGATCAGTGTTCAGTAATAACAAACAAACAAACACTGACTCTTTAGCACCCATGTATGAAATCCCGGAGTCGGTGGAAGGAGGACCCCTATCCCACACAGGACACGTCTCCTCAGGTGGGTGATGGGGACCAGACCAGTCCCCGCTACCAGGGAGGGGGCCGTCCCCAGCAGGGAACTTCCGTACTTCATCAGGAGCGACGAGTGCGACGTGCCCAGGAAACAGCGCTTCAAGAAACTCCAGTTCTCCAGCAGCCTCGAGGAATGGGATTTACCACCACCAAGCCGCCCCTTCTTCAGTAGCCAAAAGTCCCTTTTAGACGTGGATGATGAGGAACTCCATCTGTCTTATACTCCTCGGTTCTTGGCTAGTGCTGACACACATTTACCCCCTACTCGACGGTCCTTGGCCAGTTCTGACACACATTTACCCCCCACTCGACGGTCCTTGGCCAGTTCTGACACACATTTACCCCCCACTCGACGGACCTTGGCCAGTTCTGACACACATTTACCCCGCACTCGACGGTCCTTGGCCAGTTCTGACACCGAGGTCCCCCCCAGAGGTCACTTCGTCAGCCGGGATTCACGGGAGGGGAGCACAAGACCTGCTTTCTCGACCAACGGGAAACTTCCTCTGCTACACCGGGAGGATAAAGACCACCTGGATGTGCCCACCAAGCTGCCCTTCTCCTACAGCTACGAGTACTTCAGGAGCTCTGTCAGTAGGAGCGCCTCTGTCCCCTCTCTCCTTCACGACTACGATGATGCTGGTGTGTGGTGTATTGTGACTTGTGTTGAGACGTTTTGTGTTGTGTGACGTGTTGTATTATGTTTGTGTGCTGTGTTGTGTATTGCTGTTAGTATCACTGTGTTGTGTTGCACTGCGTCTCCATGTGTGTCAATAGCCAGCTCAAGACACTGTTGTTGATGACGCAACTTTTTCTCATATTTATTATTGATCGATGTGTTGTTTAACGCCAGTCCGTGCCTGAGAGAGAGAGAGAGAGAGAGAGAGAGAAAGAGAGAGAGAGAGAGAGAGATTGTTTGCTTGTTTGTTTGTTTGCTGTGGTGCGGCGTCTGAAGTGTGTGTGTGGGGGGAGGAGGAGGAGGGAGAGAGGGCGGTACTGTCAACCATGATATAATTTCAACATTTTTCACCCTGACAGCTATTTTAATATTCGTTTTTCAAGATAATTTACTTAACCTCTCAAATAAATACAAAATGAAATATAGAATTATGTTAAGTTTGGTCCTATCGTTTTGTGTACTAGTAAAATATTTAGATTTTTTTACATGTTAATTGAAATAAAATAAACATTTAACGTAACAGGAATTTAGACGTACAGTTATAAATGGGTAAGTGAATTAACCCACAGTTCCTTATGGAAACAATTAAATATGTATTATGACACGTAAGTAGATGATATCTGAATGGTATGTTGATGCTGTGTGACCCATTTTAATATAATGTTGTTTGTTTACAGAGGACGTTGGTGTGATGGCAACATTAGGCGCCCAGTATCACTCGTCAGGCAGCAGCAGCATGGCGAGCAACAACGGTGTTTCCCGCTTGGCTATGATGCAGGTTAGTATAGTCGCTCCCTAAAACTTTGATGCCCGTCACACTCTTGTTTTAGTCTGCCCTGAAATTGGAAAGATAGAAAGTGGGAATTTTTTATGGTTAACTCTGCTAAAGTAATTATATATCGAATTTTGTTGTTTTTAATTATTACTGGGAAATATTGCTTGATTTTTTTATAAATTAAGAGTTTACAACGTAGAAAAACAGATCTCTCACGCCCGCACACACACGCCCGCACACACACACACACACACACACACACACATACATACAGGTAAACACGAGGACATTCCAACACCGTGACTGTTTGTGATGATCTTCCCGTAGTCAGCTGATTTGAGCCGTCACTAATCACCTGAAGATTAGAAACCTCATAACCTAACCCCCCCTCAAGATAGCGTTAGGGTGTTTAATCTTCAGGTGATCCTTATGTCCTAATAGAACCCACTCTTACCGGGCCCCAGTCAAGCCTAAACATTAAGCATTGGGCCCCGATGTTGATATTCCCTTGTTCTGATGGGGTCTATTAGGACTGGGGCCCATTTGACGTTCAAGCGTGGGATAGATAGATAGATAGATAGATAGATACGGGTATAATGTAGGTAGAGTGAATGTTATATACTTCTAGGAAAATACAAACCCGTACTTGGAAGGCTCCGGCCAATGACCCGAAACTGATTACTGATTTATGTATCGGTCCGTGTACTCGAGGGACAGCTGGTTCGTACTCAACGTCGTCAGTGTTATGTGGAGTTGTCCTGATGCTCTTTTGTTTTGGATCCCTTATAAGGCGTCTGTTGGTGGAATGTATTGTTTTGTACGGTATTGTGTTTATGATTCTGTTACGATAATGATTTTTTTTAGTAGTGTTATTATTATTATTTATTATTGTTGTTACGTTATTATTATTATTATTACAATTGTTAGTAGTAGTGTAACATTATTATTATTTTTATTATTATTATTACGTTATTAGTATTATTAACCTACAGATGCCATTGGCTAAAACAAGTCAAACTCTTATAAATTTTCACTAATTGACAGTCACAATCAAGGTCGCCCCCTGTTGTTTACTCTCGCTAACGACCTGTTTTTATTTAATTACGGGTTATAAAGGTCATTAATGATAAGATCTGTTATGGCCAGACACGAAAGGAGTTAAAATTCCCTCGTGTTCAAAAGTGTATTTATATTATTTTTGGCAACATTTGATTTTTTTTTGTTCCCCTCCACCCACTTTCACTCCACCCATTCACACACACACACACACTTCCTCCCACCCAAACTCTCTTCTTCACACACACACACACACACTCTCTCTCTTCCTCTCTCTCACAATCCTCCTCCCTCCCACTCTCACACCCTCCCTCCCACTCTCACACACTCCTCCCACTCACACACCCTTCCAGGAACTCAGACCCTCTCTCTTCCCTCCACTCCCACACCTGTCTACTCATGGTTAGTGTATAATTCATAGCCTTGTTGAATGTTTTTTTTTCCCGTCGGTACAGAGCTCACGTGTTTACTGATCGAAATATTACACCTTCTGCGTCTCCTTCTGCTCTGTCTGTCGGTTAGAGAACGAGAGAGAAGTTCATGTTACTTGTATCTTGTGTTCATGATGGTGACCGCAGTGATTGTTTGGTGTATGAAGCTGAAGTCAGTGAGGTGTACGAGTGTTGGAACGAGATGTGGGTTACCATGGTTACTGTGAAAACACAAGTTGATGCGCGCGTCGACTGGGCGACCTAAGAGTGAACGCTAGTGGCATTGTTCACTGGGAATTAATTGTAAAAAAGTTTATAATTTTCACTTAAAGGTAAACAGACTTGAGGTGTATGATGGTAAAATGCACAGCTGAATGTACCGGTGACACTGTGAACTCGTTGCTGGAGTGTCCGTCCCTCTGTGGTAATTTCGTCCTTGAATTTTCAAACGTGATGGAAAAAATTCCTGTCTGAACATTTCTGGGAGGCGACCACAGCAATTTGCCGCCTGTGAGCAGTAGCGGAGGGGTGGGGGAGGAGGCGCTTGGAGTGGCCACTCGTGGCGATTGCTACAGCAACAGTAATAACAAGGCGTCCATCACCCTTGAGTTGCAGGTGAGGCAGAGTGAGTGTGTGTGTGTGTGTGTCAGCATACCAGTAACAAACAGTCCGTGTTGAGGGAGCCACTGTCGCTGCTCCTCTCCACTGTCGCTGCCACTTTACATAGAGAGTTAGTGTACACATTCCTCATGCTGTGTTGTTTACGGTGATGATAAACATAGATGATGTGGCGGCTGTACGTGAGATAATAACAAATGACTACGTAATGTCACACAGCCCAGTTTGGTGACAGTGATGTGAATTAAACTGTTTATTAAGATTAGTATGGGCGAAGAAGGAGCTTTACGTGATAAATAACGTTATACTTATTATAATCGTGTGCATTACTGCAGGTTCCGAACAATGGTAAGTAGCTGTGTGTGTGTCTTAAAGATTTACTGTATACAGTATTTGGTTTTTGAATCACCTGAAGATTACACACCCTAACGCTACGTTCTTATGTACCGTTTAACTGAATAATTATCTGTACATTTTGAACTGTAACTTGAATAACCATTAACCTATGTTGAACTAATCTCTGTTCTCACATTAACGTTTTCTTTCGTTAACTTACTTTGGCTGACTTATTTAAAAAACACACACATACCTCTACTTTATCTGGCCTACTTAACTCACACACGCCTACTTATGTGACCTACTTAACACAAACACCTACTTATTGATTTCGTACCCCCCCCCCCCCCATGATATTTGGCCTGACATTTTCTTCCTCTCCGTAATGATTAATGTTTTAAAGCGAGCGATCGGTTCAGTCCGAAATGAGTATTAGTCGATGTTTTTTTTTGTCCTAATCTTTTGTTTTTCCCATTCGCATTACGTTCAAAGTCGAGATTGTTGGCATACTTGGTCGTGGGAGGTCAGGTTAGGTCTAGGTTAGCTTATGGTTGGGTTATGGTATTTCTTAAAAGGTTCCTGAACAAGACCTTCTCAGTGAGCCAATACGCATTCCTTGTTGAGCTGTGCTTCCTGGAGTACGCGTGAATAATGTATATAGTGAATCATAACGTTAATAAAGTGGTCATACGCAGTACAACCACACCACCACGCCACCACCACCACCACATTACTATGAGTGTATAGATACCTTGTACAATAAACATAGACAGTGCAGGTAGCAAATCGAGTCGACAAATGTTTATAACTTCTGATTTAACTTTCTTCCTCTCTCTTATCAGTGACTCTCCATACCTGATAAACACCTTTGAGACTTAAATAATATTGTTAAACATACATAAGGAGAGAGAGGTTATGTTTTACCGATAATTAGGAAGTTTATTTATCCCCCCCATAGGTTTGGTTTGGGATGCGTTACGTTTGATTTTGTTTGGTTAGTTAGGTTGGGTGTCGTCTGTCTTTGTTATAGTTGCGTGAAGAACCTTACCTTCACAGATAGCTTTTGGGGGTATAATCATAGGGTAAAATACGCTAGTGGGAGGTGATCCTTGAGGGAGAGGTTTAAATTTAACCTCCATTAACTGAAGGGTAGGACTTGCAAGCATCATCGACCTCGTGTTGAAGTATGAAAGGGGGTGATAACTTGAGGCGATGGGAAGGTCATACTGAAGCTATTCCTGGGTGGGGTGTAGGAGGGAGGGTTTGGCTAGGTTAGGAAAGAGGGTGAGGAGGGGAGGTACGTGGTTCTTACACTGACTCACTCACTCACTCACTCACTCAACCACTCCTCCCCCGTTTGCTTGCACGCACTCATCAAGCATTCACGTCCTTACACACACACACACACACACACACACACACACACACTGTCTCCGCACACTTCAGCAACTGGTAGGGTGACTTCAGTGTTACAAGGACACAGTGGGTTGCTTCAGAGAGCCAAGGTTACAATGGAAGGCTAAAATAGTAACACTTGAAGCTTGGTAAGTGATGGGGGAGGGAAGGGAGGGGGGGAGAGCAAGGACAGGGGGAAGAGAGAGAGAGGGGGGAGAAGAAATGGGAGAGGAGGGAAGAAAAGAGAGGAGAAAGAAAGAAGAAACGGGAGACAAGGGGAAAGGAAGGAAGGGAGAGAAGGGAAGAGGGGTGTTCATATTAAGGATGCAGGCTGGAGGCGTGTCACTGTATATCAGGTTGAAGTGTCGGACGGTCAATGGTAATGTGAAGGAATAATTAGCTATTTTTTCCTGTGAGAGATGAAGGAAGGGGGGGGAGGGAGGAAGGAAGGAAGGAAGGAAAAGGGAGGGAGGGAGGGAGGAAGGAAGGAAGGAAGGAAGGAAAAGGGAGGGAGGGAGGGAGGAAAGGAATAGTCTGGGGTAGGAAGAGATAATAATTAGGAGGATGATGGAACAGGGGAACACACACGCACACACGCACACACACACACACACACACACACATATACATACATACACACATACACACGTCCCTGACCGAGATACCTTCACTCAGACGACAAAAAATCATAAAACACAATGAAAATGCTGACCTGAGACACGCGAGGACACACACACACACACACACACACACCTTGTTGTCGCTGTCTGTTTCAGGTGTTTTATTTACCTATGTCACTAATTATTGTTCATTGGAGTTCATTTCCTACCTGTACTTTTGTTACCCGGAGCGTAGGTTAGATTAGGTTAGCGTTAGGTCAGGTCAGGTTAAGTTAAATTAGGTTAGGTTAAGAGACTCGGTATATCCAGTTCACCATCACTGTAGAGGTAGATTATGTTAAGTATATAAACCTGAAATATAAGGAATGTCTAGTACCAATGATTATTAAGTAATTATGGCTATAAAACATAAACTCACGTCAAAGCATTATATTACCTCCTCATTATGTGGTTTATGAATATTCGTGTCTACTCTTGTTACATAATCGCATCTGGTTTTAATGGATTAGACATGGCGTTAATTTACTGTGGTTCAGTGTGGTCGGGGGTTGTGATTACGTAAACTACATTGATTTACTAACAATAACGGGAAGGGGGTGAGGACGTGGAAGTGATTGCGTGAAATTAAATTGATTACAGGTATACAGGTAAGGGAGTAAGACCAGGTAATAAAGATGAACAGCATTAGATTTGTAAATATAAATAACGAAGACATATGTCCCCCTTCTCTCCTCCAGGCATAGGTTAGGTTAGGTTTGATTAGGTTAGGTTAGTATTAGGTTAGGTTAAGTTAGGTTAGTTAGGCTAGTTAATTAGTTTAAGGAGTGAAATATCGGATAATATAAGCCATATGTCTGAAATCGTACAAACTCCTGTATATAAGCCATGTCCAGAACCCCTAAACTCTACTGCCAGTTTCCGGTATCTCGCAGTATTCCAAAAATGCGCACAGCAGTTTAATTCCTAGTTTTGCCTGGAAGCTGCCAACTGTGTCAAAATGTGTTGTACATTTTTGTGTTAAGGGAGCAGTGAAGACTAACACCATGTTGTCAGTCCTGCTCAGTGTATGCTAATATGTGGTCATGTTGTACAGTGTAGACTAATATGTGGTCATGTTGTACAGTGTAGACTAATATGTGGTCATGTGTTTCAGGCTAGACTGCGGGAGCAGCTGATGGTGGAGAAGGAGTCACGGCTGCTGCAGATGGCGGCCCGACAGGAGGCTGAGCGGGAGGGCACCATCCAGCGAGTCACCAAGTCCTCCGCCTCCACGCTCTCCTCCTCCCTCTCCTCTCTCTCCTCTTCCCTCAATTCCTCCGGCGGTCAGGGGCGCGTTAGGAAACTGTTCGAGGAGCGGAGGACTAATGGGTACGGTCACAGCCCCGTCGGGAGGGACAAGAGCTACCCGCTGGAGCCCGTGAGGGGCGGCAGCACTGGGAGCACGGGAGGAGGACGTCCGCCGGTAAAGCCCGTGAAGGGTGTGATCCGTAACCGCGGGGTGAGTGTTGACCGCGGCAAGAACAACTACGACCCTGAAATGATGAGACGGTCGAGGAGCCACGCCGCCCTCCAGCAGAACGCTAATAACAACAACGAACCTCGCTCCCCTGCCAGAGGCCTCCGCCCCCCACAGACACGCCCGCCCGTCCACCACAAGTCCACCCCCTCTCTCCTGGACGCCAACCAGAACTACAACGGGCGGGGCACCACGGGCAGTCTGGGGCCTTCCAGGGACGCCTCACCCGCTCCTTCCCCCTCACACAATAATGCTAATCGCTTTGGCTTCCGTGGTACTCCGTCAAGAGGACCGTCACCCGCCCCTTCTATGAACGGCTCTCCTGCCAGAGGACCTCAGGCATCCCCCCGCAGGACCAACACCTTCAACCACAGACAACACGAAGAGGTTGACGGCGGACGCTCCCCTGTACCCCCCAGCCAGCCACCCCGTCAACGACCAGCCCAGCCACCACCAAGAAAACCCCCAGCACGACAGCCGCCCCCCAGACGACAGCCGTCTCCTCCAGCAGACAACGACAACTCCGCCTTCTTCTCCCCGCGACCACTGGCCAACCCCAAGGTAAGACCATAGTGTCGTCACCAGGTCACGCTGATAATCTTCACTTTAGGGAAGGATCCATTTGTTTTCTTCCGCTTTACAGAATACCTCGTTATAGCCGGGTCCCGTTAATCTGGCCAGCTCAGAAGAGTAGGTCATCGTATGTCAAAGGATACAACATCGTTCTCCAGGGGGTGTGAAATCATAAACAAGGGCATGATACCGATGTTGTACTCAGGAGGTTGGCATCATACTGAACCCGTTAAAAGCCTTGACTTAGCGAACGTTCATGAGGAAATATTCATAAATACATTACGAGTGACTAGACCAATGAATCTTAGATTAAAGTCTCATTAGCGGGATAATCTGGTATAATTGCCTGAAAATGGGCCAACTCGCCTTACAGCGGCGGATAAACAAAGATGGCGTCCTGCTGTACTTGCCAAAAACACGCAAAGCGATCAATGGCTGCAGCATAACTATAATGGTGATATATAATAATAATAATACAGACCCACATGGATAGTCTGTCATTTATCAGTCTGTTGAGCGACACGTTGCTTGTGTTCTTCCTTCAGCTTAATAAGAGAGAATGAATAATTATATGTTCTCAGGCCAATGGGTTCCACTTTCAACGATCTATGAATATTTTACCCACCCCCCTCCCCCTCTCTTCTCTCTCTGTCAATAACCAGGAAAACTCCATAGGTAGGCATCTTGTCTTGAACATGTCGCGCTGTAAACAAACCGACTGACGCCAGTTTTCACACGTGGCAAACACTCCCCCGACCCTCACTTGTTTGTGACGTCACTACTGTTTACATAACAAAAGCCCCCAGTGATCAATAATAACACCTGACTTATTGTGTTTTGTAAAGACTTAGGCATTGAAAATCTGTCTGTTTCAGTTTTCATAGTTAAAATAACCACGTAAGTTACTGAATCAAACTTAGCATAGGTTTTAATGAACTGTTATACACATTAAAACGTGAATTAAAATGTTGCATTAATAAACTAAGATACAATTGACGTTCATTGCTTGAGGTTGGATATATTTTAGGTCGACCAAAAAATTAAATAGAAATTGACGAATGGCGTGACCCAAGTAACCTCGATATAAAACAGGAGAATCGTGTTGTGGTGTGTGTGGTGGTAGCAACCAGCACCCCCGACCACTACCCGTACCGACCAGTACCTTTTGCCCACCTGTCAATACCTACAAGTCTGTGAAAGGTGTTTATTATTAATTACTATTATTTTTACCTTATTTTCTGTGAGAAAACAGAGGGATACTCCTTCCACGGACAGGTTTTGTTTGCATATTAACCCCCCCCCCCCTCCCCCCCTCTCTCTGCTATCTGTCTTTGTTTATCTTCTGTTTATCGCTGTATTTGTCTGTTTTCCCTAATCGCCCGTTTTAGGTTTGGCACAAGTTAACGAGACGGTGACCCACGTGAAGTAGCTTGTGACAGTGATAAATACTAAACACGTTTGTCTGGCTGTAGGGTACTGGGTAAGGTCCCTCTGTAGTCAAGATATGTACAGTAATTATAGCTGCTGAATGATGGTGAACAACCCGTGGGTGGAGGAGGAGCTTCACCCTCCCCTCCTGTCACGTGTTACCACGGGCAGGTGTTTGTTGGATACTTATTATTGCCATGTTTCCTGGATACAGTATTTGTCACCATAACTGTTCACCATACACCATCTGTGTTGATTTTCTGTCGTGGTCGAGGAAGCATTTTATGAAAGGGCCGGTGTATACTACCACATGAGCCTTAATTAACGGGGGGTAGCCAGGTATATGAAACCCTAAGAGTTGAGTTGTGGACGTTACTATAGAGATGAAATCGACGGCGGCGCCCATGACCCGCAGGTGTTTGGCGTTCGTCTTTTGTTTCGTGTTTTTAGTTTCGAAAACTCGGCCACTTTTATATATTTACAATGATCGATCGTGTACGCATTCCAATGTTGAGAACAGATCTATGAAGTACAATTTTAACCAATAAACTGTATTTAATTTGTATATTATTCATATCACCGCTGATGACTGGCAGCCTGGCGGCCACAAGTGTCATGCGCACACCTGCAGCTTTCCATCTCGCTAATATTTGGCCGCGACCCTCCCTTTGAAACGGGTTGTTTGTGAGAACGTTGCTTTGAAGTGTCGTGGAAGAGTGACATTACACAGGATACGGGAAATCCTCATAAATGACAATAATTACAAATAACCCTGTATGTTATAAAGCTTATCCTGGCGCAGAGTAATGTGTCGCTTGATATACCGGTGTTGTGACCCCTCAAGAGGTAACGGGGGATTTACTGTACCAGATATAAACCGAAAATCTAACCTAGAAACCTGACGCTTTTGTTTGGCTGAAGGTTTACTCGGTGTGAATTTAGTGGTTGATATCCAGAGCTGAACACTTGTGAGGAAAACCCAGCGCAGTCTGGTGGTTGTGAGCGACCGGCGACAGACATACCCACGATAAATCTCACGAGATCTTTATCTCTTTAAAAAAACACAACTATTACGCTAAAAATATCTACGCGGTGAAAGAGAGATATGCGTGCATTTCTATTTAACATGAATATAATGAAGACATCCTTTATGTATTCAGAAATGACGTATTTAAGAAACTGATAGTGTGTGGTGCGGGAGGGTGTAGGTGTGAGTCCTCCAGTGCGTGATGGGGGTTAGTTGCCTAGTGAAGATTAACTTGTGTATTTCAGCAGGTAAATAAATCAGATCACCTGAATATTAACCACTTTAATGGTAATCTAACTTAACTTAACTCCCTAGGTTGCGTTAGGGTGGTTAATCTTTAGGTGAATAAACTGGGAGTTAATCTTTGGGTGAAATAAGCTTGGGGTGTCGAATCTTCATGTGGTCCCAGCGAGGGCTTGTCGTAATTATTGTGATATAATGAACGGGAACAGGAGTGAGTGAGACGGGGGGCGCTGACCTCACAATGATAGCGCGAACAAAAACAACTGGTGACCCTAATCTTATTTCACCTGACGCTGACCTTACTAAACCTAATATAATTTAACTAAACCTAACTTAACTTAATCTAACTTAACTTTTGTAAACTAAACTAACTTAAACTAACCCAACTTAATCTGTATCCCCACAAGGTACCGTTAGGGTGTTGAATCATTAGGTGAAATAAATTGATCACTGAACTTAATATAATCCAGACATTGATATGAAGGTGGCGTAATAACGTGACTGTTAGGTGGCTAGGAATTTGGTTTGTAAGTGGCCGGGTATCGTGTCGTAATTAAGTTCCTAACAATATTGAGGACCCAATTCCAGCCGGCAATGCTACTCTCCTCCCTCTCCCTACACACACACTAAATTGATATATATATATATATATATATATATATATATATATATATATATATATATATATATATATATATATATATATATATATATATATATATATATATATATATATGGCACCGTAGTTCCTGTGTATGACGTAGTAAATAGTTCAAGAGACCCGGTTATCTTGTTATTAGTGGGAGCTACAGATGTTACAGCGATAGTCACCCCTTACCACCACCTACGTTCATGTCCGATCCTTCGTAACTCCTGCAGGCATTATCAGCGTCTAGTAACAACTCGACAGTGATACACCAGAGAGCTCGGAACTTATTTTTTGATGAGATGCAATGTAGTCCTTGAGAATTGATTGAGGGATTTGGGTGATACATCTCGTTTTTGACACACGTTGCGTCACGAGGAACACAAACTCGACGTCCAGCTTAGAAGAGAAAGATGTAATCCTGTCAATATTTACACCGTGTTGGCCGCGACTTGGGTGTCGTAGCTCAAGTATTGAACAGATTTATAAAAAAAAATGCATTCTTAATTCTAGGAAAAATTTTGCTTGCGAATCTCGAGAAATCCGGATAAGCTAGATTACGTAATGATCGTGTCACGCGAGATGGATTCCACACATGACAAATCCAGCGTCGTGTGGGGGGAGATTTAAGAGATGAGCAGCACACGAGTGAGTTCACACCATTGTTTTCTTCCCCAACAACCCATAAAACCTGGTGAGCATCACATGACTTGGCCAGACTGTTGTGTCAATGACCTCTGCATCACGACCCCCCCCCCCCTCGATGCCCGCATATTATACAACTCATGACAACGACCTATAAGCTATGGTTTTTGAGGTTTAGCTTTTCCTTTAAGTCTGAGTAGAAGTCTAACCTAAAGTTACCTGGGGTTTTCTGTATCTCTGAGGAACTAATTCTCTTTACAAAATCATTTGCTGCACAGACTTAAATTTCTTGGGAGAATTTTGTCCTTTTGGACTTGAGATAAATTTAGTTGTTTTTATTTTCCTCTATTCCATCCATACTGTACCTTTCATACCTTTGTCTTATCTCTATTTTATTCAAGGTTTCTGTGGTTTGGTTTCAGTTCATAATTCACGCCTTGTTATGATTCCCGGTTTTTTTTCAGTCTGCCATTACAAACTGATTAATAGAAAACTTGAAGGGAAGATTCATGCATTTAACACGTCAGATTTCTTTTTGTTTACAATAATGTATTTAGTTTGAGAGGTACAGTAGTAGGTGGGTGACACGGGTACAGTAGTAGGTGGGTGACACAGGTACAGTAGTAGGTGGGTGACACAGGTACAGTAGTAGGTGGGTGACACAGGTACAGTAGTAGGTGGGTGACACAGGTACAGTAGTAGGTGGGGTGACACAGGTACAGTAGTAGGTGGGTGGCACAGGTACAGCAGTAGGTGGGTGACACAGGTACAGTAGTAGGTGGGTGGCACAGGTACAGCAGTAGGTGGGTGACACAGGTACAGTAGTAGGTTAGATAGTTGTGGGTGACACAGGTACAGTAGTAGGACAGGTACGGCTTATTAGTTGGGTGACACAAGTACAGTAGTAGATTGAATTGGCACAGATACAGTAGTGAGTGGGTGACACAGGTGCAGTGTGGGTGGTGAGCACAGGTACAGTAGTAGGTGGTGACACAGGTGCAGTAGTGGGTGGGTGACACAGGTACAGTGAGTGGGTGGGTGACACAGGTACAGTGGTGGTGGGTGACTTGGTGCAGTAGTGGGTGGGCGACACAGGTACAGTGGTGGGTGGGTGGCTTACAGGTGCAGTGGTGGGTGGAGTGACACAGGTGCAGTGTGGGTGGGTGACACAGGTGCAGTGGTCAGGTGGGTGACACAGGTACACGCAGTGGTAGATTGGGTGACACAGGTGCAGTGTGGGTGGGTGACACAGGTACAGTGATGGTGGGTGGGTGACAGGTGCAGTGTGGGTGGGTGAACACAGGTACAGTGGTAGATTGGGTGACACAGGTACAGTGGTAGATTAGATTGACACAGGTACAGTAGTGGAATTGAATTGACCTGGGTACAGTGGTAGATTAAGATTGGCTTGGGTACAGTAATGGAGTGGGTGACACAGGTACAGTGGTAGATTGGGTGACACACAGGTGCAGTAGTAGGTGGGTGACACAGGTGCAGTGGTAGGTGGGTGACACAGGTACAGTGTGGGTGGGTGAGCCTGGGTGCAGTGATGGGTGGGTGACACAGGTACAGTGGTGGGTGGGTGACACAGGTACTGATGGTAGATTAGATTGACACAGGTGCAGTGGTAGATTGGGTGACACAGGTACAGTGGTGGAATTAGTTGACACAGGTACAGTGGTAGAATTAGATTTGACACGGGTGCAGTGTGGAGTGGGTGGCTACAGGTACAGTGGTGGAGTGGGTGACACAGGTGCAGTGGTAGATTGGGTGACACAGGTACAGTAGTGGGTGGTGACACAGGTGCAGTAGTGGAGTGGGTGACACAGGTGCAGTGGTAGATTGGGTGACACAGGTACAGTAGTGGAGTGGGTGACACAGGTACAGCAGTGGAGTGGGTGACACAGGTGCAGCAGTGGAGTGAATTGAGCTTACAGATACACAGCGGTAGATTGAATTTGACACAGGTGCAGTGGTAGATTGGGTGACACAGGTGCAGTGATGGGTGGGTGACACAGGTACAGTGGTGGTGGGTGACACAGGTGCAGTGGTGGGTGGATTGACACAGGTGCAGTGGAGTGGGTGACACCAGGTACAGTGGTAGATTAGATTTGACACAGGGTGCAGTGGTGGATGAATTGACTGGGTGCAGCAGTAGATTGGGTGACACAGGTACAGTAGTAGATTGGGTGACACAGGTGCAGCAGTGGGTGGGTAACACAGATGCAGTAGTGGAGTGGGTGACACAGGTACAGTGGTAGATTGGGTGGCACAGGTACAGTGATGGTAGATTAGATTGGCACAGGTACAGTGGTAGATTGACACAGGTGCAGTGGTAAGGTGGGTGACACAGGTACACAGAATTAGTGAGTGGGTGGCACAGGTACAGTGAAATGGGTGGGTGGCCTGGTACAGTAGTGGGTGGGTGACACAGGTACAGTAGTGGGTGGGTGACACAGGTACAGTGGTAGGTGGGTGACACAGGTACAGCAGGTGAGTGACACAGGTACAGCAGGTGAGTGACACAGGTACAGTAGTAGGTGGGTGACACAGATACAGTAGTAGGTGGGTGGCACAGGTACAGCGGGTGGGTGGCACCGGTACAGCGGGTGGGTGGCACCGGTACAGTAGGTGGATGACACAGGTACAATAGGTGGATGACACAGGTACAATAGGTGGATGACACAGGTACAGTAGGTTGGTGTTTCAATAAGTTTGTACTATCGTGATGTTTTGAACCACCTAACAGTAAGAAAAAGAAATAATAGCGTTATTATTACTTATCGCCTTTTAATATTTAACATATTAAGATCGAAGAAAATGATGTGACATTAAAGAAACTGAAGAAATAATATACTGCAATACATACATTAGTTAAAATGTCTTATGAAACAATGAAATGATGAGTGATATAAGATGCTGATGTTAATGGTTTGGAAGATATGAAACAACACCAGATACAGTATAGACACAACAAAATATGAATGGTATGTGAGTGTGTCAGGAGGCCCTCAGTGAGAGTATTGAGGAAAGCAGTACAGTACGTCCTCTGGAGTCTACCAAGCACCACCAACACAGAGGATGTGCCTCAGCTATAGCAAGTGACACATCATAGCTCTCCTGTCACCAACCTAGGATGGGCTGTACACCGGTGAGCTGCTGACCTAATGTATATATAATTATCCTCTTCATCTTGTTAACATACTAGTCATTCAGAAGGTCACTCACTTCTTGGACGTAACTATTAGCAGGTACTCAAAGTAGTCTTCTATGTACACAGTCAAAATGCTAGCTTTACAATTTTGTTTGATAGCATGACAACAGACGAAGAATTTTGACAACCCACCGAGACAAAAGTCGTCGCAGTGTTCATTTTGAAAATCATCAGAGATTCTGGCCCGTCCGGAAAGTTACTTTTGTTTTATTGTGTACCTGAACATATGTCATCAATACTGGCCTAGCCATAACCTTGACAGAGTTCACATTAGGTGATGAGTGTTTTCTGTTGAGTGACATACATCATGACAGACCAAGTATTAAACAGGCCTTGGCATCTGACATTATCTGGTTCCTGCTGATAGTTTGGGTCTGAGAGATGATCAACCATCAGAATGGATTACAGGTGATGAAGACAATAAGTAAAATGCTGTAATTAAGTCAGTATGAGGACAAGGACTGGCTGTAGAAAAGCTATACTGTATGGTTTAGGATCAACACTGGAAGAAAGAATCCAGTGATTTTTGAAAATTTCATTGAATTGGGATATGGTAGGCAATTTTCTGTCTGTATGTATTGGTACAATAATGAATGTAAAAGTTTTATTCTGGATGTTAAGCAAACTGATAGTGTATACATTGTCTTGTAATTCAAAAACTATTAATTTGGGTAAAATTTTATTAAGTGAAGGTTCTATGTATTGCAGAACAGTACAGTGCTTTGATAATTTATTACGTAATAACTTTTGAGATGTCTTTGAAAGGTCTACCGAGGGAGGCTAAATTCATGATGGCCCATTGACTCCCAAGTCTCACCTTTTATAGGCATTTCTTGCATAGATTTACAAAGATAATTTTATGACACAATTTGTCATAAGTTGGAGCTTCTGACATCAGGTCTCGATGTTCATCACTCGGAGCTGCTGCCGTTGGCTTACATCCAATAGACTTTATTTTCGGTATATTGAAATCATAATGGAGACAACTAGATCCTACCTAATACAGGACAGTATTTGACTCTTTTTGACAATTCACAAACTTGAGTGGTTACATGCCAGGTACTGTACAGTATTGTCTGCCACCAACACTCATCATGGTTTCAAGTGATGTGTTTACAGTACAGTATATAACATGGGTAATTTTATTTTTGTAATTTGATCTCTATGTGCTTTTTGATAACAGGTTATGTTTCCTTGCAAGTATGTACCACCTGTTCTGGATAGTTATAGATGATGTTCCCAATTTTCAAAGTCATACTGTACTGAATTTTTCTAACACCCTTACATAGCCTTTCCTTCAAGTTTTCTAAAGATGCTGATAACCCCAGAGGAAAAAGTCAAGGGGGCTCAGCCAAAGAATGAGTCTTCCACAACCAACCCGAGGATCAGGCAGCTGGTCATTCAGTAATGTTGTACCTCACTGTGAAAGTGGAGTAGACACACAGTCTTGCTGAAACAAAACATTGGCTTTGTCTTCTAGCAGCTTCTGAGGCATCATCCACAGCTGTAGCGTCTCACTCTAAATGATACCGTACTGTTAATTGTTTGTTCAGCCACCTGCAGGAAGAAATTGGTAACTGTTAACTTGTAAAAATAAAAAATTCATAAATTTATTTATTAGTGTAGTATTATGGTTTTCACTAAGGTGTGTAGTTTTTTCTAGCTGAGAAACATAAGTTGTGAATAAATTTCTATTTAATTTGATATAATTTTTGCAGAGTAAGCCAGCTGTCCGCGGTGTTCCTCCCATCACCAGAGTGAGTGAGGCGAATTCCCCACCCATTTCTCAGTCCAAGCCCAAGCCTCCACCAAAGCCCAAGGTATTTTATTGTATTTATGGATTCTTTTTCTGGGGAATGGTAGTTTTCTCTATGGAGGGGATTTTCTGTGAGGTAATCTCCCTTTAGATGGTATTTTTGAGTGGTGGAGGGAGTTAAGTACATTACAGTATAGTAAAGTAAATTTTATGAGAAGGATGGAAGGACATGTTTAGTTTATGATGTGGAATTTACCCTAAGATGTCACACTTCTAAAATGAAACTTATCTAGTGAAGATATCGGGTAAATCACAATCAAACTAGCGTAAGTGAAAGGTATATTTTGTCCAACTGTTGCGAGTCAATAAAAGTTCACTTTATTTTTCCAAATCAAAATGGCTTGAATGTACTGCATAATGTACTGTACTAATCCATACAACTTCAATTTGTTGTTCCCCGAGTATGTCTTGACTAACCAGAATTTGACCTGTTGTTGCCCAAGTATGTCTTAACTAACCAGAATTTGACTTTCACCCATCCAAGTGGGAAAGTGCAGACACTGAGGAGGAATTTGAAGAGGTAACCCCTTTGAAGATCTGCTACCATTCACATTAGCTGTCTTCCATCTTTATGTCTGCCTGTATAAAAGATAGTCGCCTGTATTGTAAAATCATTTGCAGAAGTTCTGAAGCAATCACATTCACTGATGCATCACATAACTTGAAGATAATTTGTAGTACATTCTTAATGTAGCTGTGTACCTGTAATATTTCTGATATTTTGTATGGTATGTGTATGACTACACCATCATTATGCCTGGTAGTTCCAGTGTCACTCACAGCATGGAGAAAAGAACTTGTAAATGCTTGTTAGAATAAAGTAGTTCTTCACTACAGCTTTATTTCTGTTATTCTTACAAATTTTGACCAGTTAGTGGCCAGTCTAAAAATGTATTTGCATGTACAATATTCCAAAATTCGAGAGCTCACCAGCTTACGAACCATTGTTTGACTTCTCGTATGTCAGGTTATTAATCTCGGTATGCACAAGTAAACAGTCATTACCCAGTTCTCTGCAGTAACTACAAAAAAGATATTGGTATAGATTAATTGAAATCAAGACACTACAATATTTTTGGCACTCCAAGGATAAGGCATCACCATATAAAAAGGACTCCAGGGTGTACGTAAAGAAGATTACACAATTAGTTATATTAGTTGACATTGTAGCAGCCACCTGGTGGTAAATACTGCTGCAATTTGGAGTGATTATCATAAGTTATTATCAACATCTTTGAAAATTGCAATAAACAAGCATGGCAGACCCACATGTTTAAACCCTTTGTGGTGATGCCTGTAACCAAAAATTCTTGAAAGTTTAGCAAGCATTAAACTCATACATTAGGTTAATGTAAATTTCACATTTATCTGAATGAATTTTCTGTAAATTTTCCTTACGTCATACAGTGATAATGGATGGGGTATTTAATGTGGTTCAAAGTTAAATGGGCTCCATTCCTAAGAAGCACTTAACGTTATTTGTGAGTGGAACCCATTTAGGCTTGGATCATATCCAAATATTCATGTCACTGTATGCATAATTGCATTCCAGGATGAAAGAAAGTATGTAGTAAAATTTTATACAAACAGTAATGTCAGTGCTTGAGACATATATCATAAATGCCCTTGTTTCATAGTCCTGAACTGTATCATTATACTGTACTGTATACAGTATCTTTCTTTTTTGCAGTAAATACTTTCTGAACTTAATATTATAATAAAATTTGCCTATCAAATAAATGTGTGTTTTACAGACAACACCAGCCACTCCAGCACGATCTTCAAAACCACCCCCTGGGCTCTCCAGCTGCAAGGTTTGTGGTCGCAACTTTGCCACGGATCGATTGGAAAAACATGAAACTATCTGTGCAAAATCTAAGGCCAAGTCCAAGAAGCGTAAGGTAAGCTAAATCTTTGTTTTCTTTTTTGATTTACAGACCCAAATATCTTTGTTATAGCAGTGATGTGGGTACCTAAACAGGGCACACATATATTGAAACTTTTTTGATTGTTATTTGAGCTGTTGTGTAGCACCAGTACTATACCGTACAGCACTACTTCCATGTTGATAAATAATGTCTTGCATCATGAACAAACAAGGGTTCTTTATAACAACCATTCTTTTCATCTTTGTAATTTGTCCATATATTTATCAGAAAATAAAATTACTCGCTCGGGACCTCGCCATTTGAAATAATCATAACTTAGTTCCCAGTGGTAGACACAATTCCATCCTACCAGATCATACCCTCTGGTCCCCACTCACATCTCACTCTGAATAACCAACTGGAATACAGACCATATATCTAATTATCACTATAAAATATGCCAGCCCAGACAGCATTAAAATCTATTCTCTGTAAAAACTCCAAAGAACATAAAATAAGGCTCTTATAACGGATAGTACGAACACCACAAATTTGAACCATCATCACGTAGAAAGAAATATCTCGTTCAGTAGGATTACCTTAACATGAGAAACATTAGACTAGTATCATTAGCCCATCCTTACAACTTCGACCCCAACCAAACGTTTTCCACAGAGACCCAACAAAAGGAACACCAGCTTGCTACTAAACAGATATCCTAAACAACTTTCTCCGTTCCCTGATCACGAAGACCCACAAACACATCCATAACCAAATACCATTATCCTGTTGAGACTGGTCAGTAGCCACCATCACCCTTTCCTCATCTACTATTGACACAATCCAACTCATCCAAAAAATTGCTACTCGGCATTGCACACCATGAATCACCTTGCAGTGAGTTGACAATCCACGACACAAAACACATTTCTTCGATTTAATCTCTAGATATATCTGGGAGTGGTCAGGGGAAGTCCTTGGCTCACTGCAAGAACAACAACCTATGTGATAATGAACAATTTTCATCATCCATTAACAAGGGATGTTCAGGAATGTGAAGTGTATAATATTTGCTAGGAAATTAAGGTTTAATTTGCAACTATTCTTTATTAATTTACTTCATCTTCTCTCCCTGGGACAGAATAAGGTTGGTAGAATTACTGTACCATTTTTATTGCAGCATGTTTCATTGCTTTAATAAGAGAAAAAGTATTATATCAATATATTTTTGTTTTTGTAGTTTGCACATATTTACGAGGTCTAAGGAAATTGAACTATCACGATAGGTTGCTGAGTAATCATGCCTACTTTTCAAATAATATATTTTTTTAACTTGTGAAAAGATGTTCAATTTGAATGCAAGACAAAATTAGTCTGACACCATACTCCCCATGTGAGCTCCTCTTGATAGGGACAAGAACTTTAAGGCTGACTTATCTGAACAAGTCTCTTATAGCTTGCTACATAAAATCCTCCGTACCAGAGTTGTGGCCTCCTTCAACAGTGGCAGAAGTGATTGTTTATGTTCTCTTCATTTTCAAAATATGAAATGCATGAAAAGAGGTTTGATTGAGAAGTGGAGCGACCACATGATTCAGAATGCCCTGGACTTGAGTAGTAATTAGCTGTCTGCTCTATTGGTTTTACAAGACATTGTAAACGATTATATGGAATAATCATCTGTCTTATGTGAACTATTGCATGTTCTTAATATTGGTCACTGCACTCTATTATATAACACACGTATTGGTAATAGACGCTCAGACACTATTTATAGTCATAAATAGTGTCTATTCTGAGCATCTTTTTATAACAGTGATCTCAATCATTGTGATCACCTTACATAACATAATTGTCTTAACTAAGATAAGACTGTAGAAATTTATTTATCAGATTTGTCAGTGGGAGTTTGGTAACATCCCCCAATTCCCCTGAAAACATCATGGATTTGTAACTGGAAGAAACTAATCACCCAGAATGAAAAGTAGAACAATAAAATTTATTTATATTGTATGTTTTCTTGTTGTTTATAACAAATACTGATTACCAATATCTTACAGGTATTTGATCCTGTTAAAATGAGGACAAAGGGAACTGAAGCTGAAAAGTATATTAGCCGTGGAAAGCATTTGGAAGAATTGCCTAAGGTATGTTATCTCAGCAAATATCTCATACATACATTCAGCAGATATAGTTTGAAGCAGTAGCTTAGAAGCTGTTCCTGTACATATGCTTTGTTGTCTGAACTTTAAAACCTACTGTACTCGTATAATAAAACTCCCCTTACTGCAAGCCCTTGTTTTAGGCAGGATAGGTGTTAGTCTTGGGTGACCAAGGCATTAGTCTTGGATGTAATCCAAGACTAAATTGTGATACAGTAATGATGATGTGTAGTAATATTCATACTTGTTTTACAGCCCAAGAAAAAAGATTGGAAGAAGCAGCACGAAGACTTCATTGCAACAATACGAGCAGCAAAAACAGGTGCAGAACCCCCACCAACAGATAATTCAGATTATATCCAATGTCCCCATTGTGGACGCAAGTTTGCAGAGGCAGCGGCAGACAGGCACATTCCTAAGTGTGCATCCATTCAGAGTAACAAGCCTGCCGCTGGTCGAAGGAGGTAAAAATTTTTAAGAGAAAGGACGACGTAGACAGGTACCGTAGTGAAAAAGTTTCTTGATTTTTCCTGTCTACTATTCTGTAAATATGAATAGAGTAAAATGACAGAATTCTGTGTCAATAAAAAAAATAAAAACCTACATATCTTGTTTATCAAAATGGAGTAAACAAGAAGAAAAGTTCTACCCAAAGAATATTTTAATAGAAGTGATTGTCAAGGCTAAAAGAAAATATGTTGGTACACTATACATGTGTCATTTTATTCTTTGGGTTATGCCTAAGTTTATGTACTTACAGGCAATGAGTTTCTAAACTGCAGGTAAAGTGGTGAAACCATAAACCTGTTTCTTAGAATTTGTTTATGGCTCAAAACTAAGTAAACAAATTTGCTGGTTTTCAAATTTTGCTTTTGTTTGCTTTGGTTTTTGTATAACTGCCTCAATAATATACTTTGGTAGTAACAGTAGTGATGGAGTTTATTTTTATGAGATTTATATTACTAAACAAATTAACGAAGCATTATAATTGTGTTGAGGGAGACAGTTTTTAGATGTGTAATACCTGTTTTTAACAAGTTCATGGAATGCTTATAAGAATCCCAATATAATTTTTTTCAGATGAATATTACATGACAAATTAAATTAATGAACAAAATCGTCCAGTAAATGTAAAATTTTCTGAGAGCAAGAGATGTTTAAGTTTAGATATAAGATGTTCTCATTGTTTTCATCAAATGTTGAGGTGAGGGTTTTGAGTTAGAACTTTACACGTGTATGGTTAGTAAACGCTACTTAATTGATCTTTGCTTTCTAAATAACCATTTGGAATTATTAACATTATTTTCCAACTTTGTTCTTTCATTACTACAAACCAGAAGTTATGGCCACGCCTTTGGTTTGTGGTAATGAAGGAGTTAATATAAATACCTATTGAGAAATTTAACCAACATGTGATATATATAAGAAAAAAAAAGTCTTGTAATTGGATAGAGCAATCAAACTGATAATACTACAGTTGGTTGAGCTGACAAAATAGTTTATGAAATAGATCTGCAGTGTAGTGCATTATAGTCATACAAATTGTTGCATTGTAACTAGTAGGATGATATTTTAATACTACACTATCTGTGATAACTCTGTGTGAGAAGCAAAGTAGAATTAAAGCAAAGGTAAGTATTGTATTTTGAGATAACTATGGTTGGAAAATACTTTTACATTGGGGGTGACCTAATCACCTCAAATGGAACTACTGTTGAGTAGTAAAGAGTTAGGCTTACTTAAGTGCAGAGTGGAAACCATATTTTTATCTGAAGTTTTAGGTTCACGAAGAATCACTATGGTCTGGATAACCCACACTACCAAGAATCCTAAATTATGATTCCCAGTGTAATAAACAGATGAGTATAAAGTCATGAAAATCCAGATATAGTGCAGCTGTACTTATATAAACATAATTTGTAATATCACAATTGAAAGAAGGCTTGCTATGGCTGCTCTTATGATTTTATTTAATGAATAGCTTTGTATGTAAATGACATTTTACAATAAAATTTAATAAACATTTATTGAACCTTTTTTTTTTACACTCCTTTCAAAATGAATTAGAAAATGTCCTTCCTTTGTTTCAAACTATACAAGCAACACATTGACTACCAGGTGATAACTACTGAACATGAGCTACACAATTACTCCAATTTTTACGTTCTGAATCCAAATCCTTAATTGGCAAGTAAAAGAGTACTGTACCTACATCATGACCTCCTGTGCTAAAACGCAAGGTAAATACATCAAGCGTTTCAGGGTAACTAATGTCTCTTTACTGGAAAGTGAAAACCAATGTGCCTAAATGGAATTGATTTTTGGATTTTAATAATATTCCTAAAACCTACTTTGTCTTCCTGTATTGTATTGACAGTAACATAAAACATAACAGGAGAAAAATAAATGACCTTGGTCACAGTGTGCAAACCTTTGCAGATAGCGACGGGAAAATTCTTGGAATATCAGGTGCAGTGGTCATCAGACTTTGGGAGAATGCATGGGAGCCGACTGGACTCCACAAGGAAAGTACGTATCTGGAGGCATCAAAAATTTTTTTAGTTTGGACTTGTAGTAATGCTGTAAAAATTAAAGCTTAATAAGCACATACTACTGTATATAAAGGTACTTTGAAGTTGTCTGTGTAATTCAATATTCACAATTCCATATTTGAGGAATTTTTTTTTCTTTTCAAGTACATTTTATGAAAAAAAAAAAAAGTTAATCCAAAATTAAAAATAGTCCATATGACTTCCTTAAAGAATGGAAGATGCACTTCTATGGGAGGTGACAATATAACATGCAATAATTTATTCACTTGCACCTTCTCTTCATGAACCCTTGGACCAATTTTCCCAAGAACTCATTCCAGAAGCTGGTGTGTCTCCAATGGTGAAGGAACATTGAAAATGCAATGGAAAGATGTGTGCAAGTGCTACCAAGGCTGATTGCCTAACCATGCAGCAAGTCAACTCGAGGCAAGTGTTTCAAAGAAAAATAAAGAACTGTGTTAACCACATGCAAGGATTTCACAATCATGTAACTTCCAATAATGAACAACAACTATTAATTTACACTTAAATGTTGTGAGCTTTGGAAGAATAGCCATCATTAAACAAACACCTTGGGCAATTTAGTTAGTAACACTTGACTGGCTATTACAGTGTTAAAAAGAGAGGGAGTCATTTTGTGACCATATCAAGCAAACTAAAAGGTACCCTTAAAAAATGCATGAACAGTAATTTACATAACATGGTATATATTAACATGATTAAGACCAATTGCAGAAAGAGTGAGACATTCATTACTGTACACAGTGATATAACTACCACAAAAGAATTAAACAAACAAATTAATGTATAAAACTATTTTCTTTACTCCTCTCTGAGTAAAGGTTATCTAAGATGGTGAGGTAATGGTAGAAGAGAGTAGTGGCAGCAAGAAACTGAAGGCAATTGGAAAGTGCAACAAAAACAAGCACACACCCAGTAGCTACTTGCTTCTACCATCAATGTGCACATGTGGTATACGAAGTTAATCACAAAACTTCATTTGAATATACTGTACTGTGCATACTTACTAACAACACAAAGCCTAACACCCACACAAAACACAGTTCTTTGAGTTGTATACTGTACTAAGAGTAATTACCTCAGGGTCTGGCTAACCTCAGCTGCCAGCGTCATTTTCTTTCTTGGGCACATGTTTTATTTAGCTGCAGGTACTGAAGCTCCTGGATTGTTCTGAGAATGTTGAAGCTGTTCCTCCTCAATACCTCAAAGTTATCCATCTGTGTTCCTCCAAACCGATGACTGAGTAACTGAGGATACACAAAGAAATCAACATACTGTACTGTTACACTTATTTGATTTTTTTATATACCCTAAAGTATTTTTAAAGAGACCATTACTCTAGAACTCAATAACAAAAGAATACAAATGCTAAATAATTCTTATGAGGCAGACATTCCATATATACTTGTTTTACTACCCTCCAAATTGAATGAGTGCCGAGAATCGGTCGAACCTCTTTTATTACCCATTAAGGACCTACCCCAAGCCAATCTGACTGAAAAGTTATTAAACAGCTATGAATTGAAGTATTAATTAAAGTACTGTAGTGTTTCTGAGGTAGTTAAGTTTTTACCTCCAAGCTTATCTACATTCCCTCCTTTGGTAGAGTAATTCCTAAATCGATCGAGTCTCCTGTGTATTTTACTAATCTTTCCCTAATATCAATCTCCGTCATAAACATTCACACTTTATAAGACACCCAAGTGCTTGATATCCGTAACCTTCTCCACTACCTCGTTCTACCGCATTACATTTCCTAGTCCCTGATGTGAAACAAGATAAGACACAATGCTGTTTATCAAGTAATCCACCACCAGAATTTAAAACTGTTTATTCCAATGGCAGAAAAGGGGGATCAGTGGTAGAAGGGGTACCGTTCTTGCCTCGCAAGCGGGATGTCACAGGTTCGATTCCCGGGCCGGTGGAAGTTGTTTGGACTTACTTCCTAGCCCCCATTAGTCCCTGTTCACCTAGCAGTAAAGTAGGTACCTGGTGTAAGTCGAAAGTTGCGAATTCGTATTCAGGGAAAGTTGTTGGAGCTTCCAATAACTTGATGACATAAACCACTGACTCTTCAGGCTTCTACGCCCTTAACTCACGAGACATAAAGGCAAGCATGAACTTAGCATGCTTCCCTGTTGGGCGCTGTAAATGCTTCTGCGCTTCACCTTACACAAGGATGTAGGGGAGTGCCCCAAAAAAAAAAAAAAAACAGAAAATAAGGCATCTGCTGAGCAAAGATTATGTGTAATCCTCTCAAGACCTCGCAACTAACTGGCACATAATGTCTGAACCAAAAAATATAACAATTACTTCAAAAAACCAAAAGCCAAAATTATGGTTACAATATTTATAATACCTGTACTCACATAAATTATATCTTTCATGCAGTTCATGCCTATAGGTTCCAACATTTCAGTGCTGCTAGAGGAACTGGAACTGTCGCAACATGCAGTCACATATGTTTGAGTACTAAAGTCTGGCGTGTCTGTGTTCGACTTGGTATTAGCCATGTCTGCTTCTTCCATCCTTGGCTCATCCTTTTCTATCCTTGGTTTGTCCTTCTCTATCCTTGGTTCGATCTTTTGTTTCCTTGCCTCATCCTTTTGTTTCCCTGCCTCATCCTTTTGTTTCCTTGGCTCATCCTTTTGTTTCCCTGGCTCATCCTTTTCTATCCTTGGTTTGTCCTTCTCTATCCTTGGTTCGATCTTTTGTTTCCTTGGCTCATCCTTTTGTTTCCTTGGCTCATCCTTTTGTTTCCCTGGCTCATCCTTTTGTTTCCCTGGCTCATCCTTTTGTTTCCTTGCCTCATCCTTTTGTTTCCTTGGCTCATCCTTTTGTTTCCCTGGCTCATCCTTTTCTATCCTTGGCTCGATCTTTTCTATCTTTGGCTTGATCTTTTCTATCCTTGGCTCATCCGTTTCTATAATAAATGTGTTGCCAACTAATTTCATCACTTCACCTCTCTTAAGACGTACAACCCTTTTACATAATGTATATACCTTGGACGGAGAGCTGCTCAAACCAACGCCAGATGAACTTGGCGTCTTAGGTTTAGGGAGGAGTCTAGCTTGCTGTTTACCTGTAGTCCCCTTCAGCGATGATGTACAATTCGGTTTAGATGATGATGATGAAGATGATGTAGATGATGAAGATGATGTAGATGATGAAGATGATGTAGATGATGATGATGAAGATGATGAAGATGATGTAGATGATGATGATGATGAAGAGGTAGATAATGTCACACAAACTTGTTTACCAGTAGCTTTGGTGACTTTGCCTTGACACTTTCCTCCCTGCAAGAAAAACAAAAACAGGTTGAATGAATAGGAGTATTCTCCTCTCGTCTAAAAACGTCAATAAAGAATGGACTAAATTTGTAAACAAAGCCCTCATTTATGGCTAGCATGGAAAGAAATACCCCACATGAAGCTCAAGCATCCCAGCTTGTTTTAGCGGTCAATCAAACATCCTAATGTCACCTGGAGGCAAGGCTGCATTTAGACCTGTGGGCTCTAATAAAAAAAAAAATATATATATATACATATATTAACCAGAATGCAGGTTTTAACTTATCATTATTAAAACAAACTTTGCCCTTTACAGTAGAAAGAATCAATCATTACAGTAATTTGTTTCAGTAGAGTCAGGAAAACATTAAATACCCTGCACAGTATAGTACGTGAGAAACCTTTAAACTTGATTAATTAACTCAATTGTGTATTTAGAAAAGAAACAACAGGTCGGTAAATCTTCTGCTTTCCACCTGTTCTGTAAGTTGTTCTTCAGGTAAACCAAATCTGTGTAAATTAGTACCAGATTCAAAACTTATAACAAAGAACCGATATGTTTAATTTGTATAAACCAAAACATATTAATATTAATTATCTTCTTTTCACAGTTTGCAAGACCCCGGTGCAGCTCCCCAGTTTGTACTGTGATAAATACGACAATTACTAGATAGGTTAGGTTAGGTTAGGTTAGTTAGTATTAGGTTGTTTAATCATCACATGAAGTAAGTTAGGAATGGGGCTAATAATTAATCAATTGATCCAAAATAGACAAATTAAATCTTTAAAAAATAATTTGTTACTACAGCATCCAACACACAAATCCTTAGGTTTGCACAGACTTGTCAACAATTAGTGTTAATTAGGTTGTTATTACTGTACTGTACCTTTGTGTTGGATGAGGCCGAGACAATGTTCGTGTGTTTGTTTATCCTCTTCACATCCTTGGGTTCCCTCTGTTGAATTTTGTGCACTGTCTTCCCTTTCCTTTTCAGATTCTTTCTAGGGAGACTATCAGTACAAATAGCCTTATCTAGTAGACCATCCATGCGGTGTTTGGCGGCATCATTGACGAGAACAGTCTGAGGCCGGTCTGAGGTCACATGAGCAGTTTTAACTTCAGTCGAGCCGGTAGGAATGTTAGGTCTTCTCCTGAGGAGGCCTCTTAGGTGAATATCTCTATAGATCAGTTGTAAATTTGTTCTCATTGCTTCTATACTCCAGTCGGCTCTCTCATCATGCACATACTCTGACAGAGGCCAACGATCCGTGATCTGCGAAATATATATATGGTACAACGTACAGACACTCCATACTACAAGACTCACAAAACTAAAGGGTAAAATTTTCGTTTCTGTCATACACTTACTTGGAAGTCATTCAAAGACATCAAAAACCACAATTTGAATCTAACCTAACTTAACCTAACCAAATCTAAACTTAAAATCATAAAATTTGCTGCATCATCGAAACGATAATACCGATTATAGTATCATAAGGCCAACCTGCTGATGAATAAGAAGAACCTGTAAATAAATTAACAACCAAATTATATATATACAAATAAACATGGTTTGAAGGCGTGGGTAAATGCAGTGTTAAAACTCATAAGTTAAATTAAGAGGAAATATTACACTGACAATGTACTATAAAGGCTGGATAAAATCTTCTGGTATTAGACAAATAAAATATCAAAATTGGCGTCCCTGTAGTGAAGGGGATGAAAGATTAACATAAGGTAGACGTACATATGTAAAGGCAATAGTTCACTTCATCAGCCTGTGGATCTAACATTTACACAAGAAACTGTGGTCACATGAGGTAGATTATACAAAAAAAAAACCCTAGAAAAAACAAATTGCGTTGCTGAGTCGATGAGTTGGGTATTTTCTATAAATTTACCAAAATGATAAAAGTGAAACAAGGTAAAACTCTTTCCTTCCCACCAGCGTCACCTCCACACACCTCAAGTTTATTTAAAGTATTACCTATTTACCTGTCTAATATGATCTACAGTAGGGATAAATAACTCATTTACTTACCAGTACATTTAAATTAGATGTGGGTCTCTCCTGGTTCTCCATAATCGTAAATTACAAGAGACTCCCTCATTTAAACCCCTCCGTGTTGACACTTGTTGGGTGCTCCAGTCATTATCACCTGTATGAACAACGAACACAAAACCATATTAATACTAACACACCTGCTGTATTTCCTAATGATTTGTTACAGTTATATAATTTATGATTATCATTATTCACATATATACTAGTTTGCACAAATATATGTAAAAGAGAGAGATGAAGCAGCTGTAACTTCTAAAACCCATAAACAAATCTGATATCAACGTTATTAACCTATTTCTGATTATTAAATTTATTTCCTTTTATAATTTATGATATTTACATAAATTATGACTAAACTTATTTACACATAAGCTTAGTGCCTCTCAAAATATGTTCTGGGTTCAATATCCGGCCCGGTATTGTGTCAATGAGAGGATCGTATTACCGTATTTTAAGTCTGCAATTATAATAAAAATTTTTCCTGTATTTTGAAGGCTTATTTCAGCACGCTGCAAGTATCCGATAATATTTTTAACAAGTTGCGCATGTCCGTAACATTTTAAATACATTTCTTTCTTTATATACTACACAAGGGGTCAAGAACGTGCTGCCATCTGGCGGATCTTATGACAACTACCATTATATATTTTCCTAGACTACCCCGTGTATTGCCAAATGTTAATTCCAAAGTCAATTTATACAGATTTAACTTTTTATTTTTATTTTTAGAGTTAATTCAAAACAATATAATTAAAATACAATTTATGATGCAAGATGAGTTTATGTTATGTTCTCTACACGACGCTATTAACAACATTATGTGTCGCTATTTCCGACATAGCCACAACCACTCCCTCAACCACCCCCTCAACCACTCCCTCAACCACCCCTCAACCACTCCCTCAACCACCCCCTCAACCACCCCCTCGCTATAACGGACAGCAGTTACCCCCTCCAGCACTATAATAGACGCTACAATCCCTCCTTCCCTCATAATAACTGACAACACAATGCCTCCCTCCCTTCCTCACCCTCACAGGTAGAACAGGCTGTGCAATTGTAATATATAAAGAAAAAGAGATGATAGTGTCAAACAAGCAAAGGCTGAACAACTGGGCCAGCACAACACAAACTGAACTAACTGGAATCTACTTAGCTACAGACTACATTAAAGAAAATGGAGGTGGGGTGATATTCTGTGACTCCCAAAGTGCTTTGAAATCAATGAACAGCCCGTCAGGTTCTATGTCTAAAGCTGTATGTGAGAAATGCAGAGAGACCTGGCTGTTGTAGCATGAGTAAATATAAAAAAAATTGTGACGAGAGGTACCGGTATGGCCAGCATAAGGACAGAACCAGACAATGTGATGTAGTCGTGGCCAGAATTAGGCTAGGATACAGACACATCTGGCAAGTTAGTAACGCTGTACCCATACCGGAACACTCAGCATGTAAACGTTGTGATAAACCTTTAAAGCATACACTTGAACACTATATTATTGAATGTGACACTGTCAAAGACTTCAGGCCACCTGGCTTATTGTATCATGAACTTTGTCATTACTACATTGAATCAGGGGTGCTTGAGGACATTCTTGCTGTTTATCCCAAATTTGCTAGCCCACACTGATTAGTCTTCAATTAGAACATGACGTCCAATGTATATGAACCATTGTCTTGCATGGCAGTGAACAGTGACATTACCCATATGAATCTGACCTCTATACATATATAGCTGTATTCCTTTGTGTATGAACCTCTGTCCTGTGTGGTAGTGAGAAGTGATACCACCCTCAGTGTCAAGACCTGACTGAATCACTCACAATAGGCAAACTGTACTACAAGCTTTGTCAATAAATTTGTTAAACTAAACTAAATCTACCCCATACCCTCACTGTAGTTATTGTAACTGCTAATCTAGTATGTTGAGAGCAAAACGATAGAAATAATGTAAGAAACTTAGGGAGTTATATACATGTTGCATTTAACTTAGTTAAATAAATATTTAATAATTACACGAATTATAAATAATTACTCCTGATTTAAGTAATAGTCTTGCTCGAGTCTACATTCCTTTGTCTGCGCGCATCCTGCTAGCTACCATTGAATGTCATATTACCTGCCATCGTCAGTTCCTTGACGATCGTGACCCGACACACACACAACACCTCCAGTAAATACCAGCGAACATGGAGGGGCTCACCAACTGGCCTCCACCATGAATTCCTGACCTCCATCCACATCAACAAACCTTGAGTATCTGTCGCCTAACTTTATACTTTGTACGTTGTTTGATGTTATGATGGCTACTTAAGGTAACCACCCATTTTGAGTATTTATTTAATTCGTGTAACTTAATGTAAATATTTTTTGTCCTGATATTAACCAGTTCAGTTGGTGTCTGTATATTTCAGGACGTGGTCATTAAGTGACTTGGAATGTGTAAATTTAACAAAACTTGGGAATCATTGTAAAAGTTTGATAGATTGTGCCTCGAGGGATCAGTCTCCTTGCTGACACATTTGTTCCAACACTATGTACTGGAGGGGAGGGGGTGATATGGGGTGAGAGGATGTGGGGGAGGAGGAAGGGGGTGTCGCCGTGTCGGGAAGGAGGTGGACCAAAAACCATCGTCCTCAAAGGGTTAATACAGTGTTTGATGGTGCTAGTGTTAGGTAAACAACAGCCAAACTCTATGTCGACATCTCTATGAGTGTGCGTTCGTTTACAAGTCTCACAACATATCCTGTCAACACATAAGTGTATAAGAAGTCATGGTAAATTCTATCCGGCTACAGTTATACCTACATAAGTGGCCAGTCATCTAGCCAGACACACAACCATCCATCCATCCAGCTAAAGTAAAAGTACATAACCAGTAGCAAACTAGCCAACCAACCTGCCAACTAGCCAGACAGCTAGCCAGCTAACCTGTCAACTAGCCAAGCAACCTGCGAGACAACTTGCCAGCCAGCCAGCGTCCTGAAAAAAAATACGAGAGAGACAGAGAGAGAGGAAGGGGGGACGGTATCCTGTGTGTGTGTTATCAGAACAATTTAAACGCCACAGTAGGATTGCCTGACTCAGTACGCGTCTTGTGTCTCTCAAAGTAAGATGGAGTGGCGACGACTCCTGTGTGTGTTTGTGGCCCTGGAGACGACCATCCTCTCCCCAGGGGCGTCTTACTCGTCTCCTACGTCGCCACCACAGCTCTCCTCACCCTCCACGTCGCCACCACAGCTCTCGCTACCCTCCACGTCTCCACCACAGCTCTCGTCAGCTCTCAACACCAACACGTCTCTGGCCTCCTCCTCGTCACACTCCCACAAAGGTGATTCAGCTTCCTCCCTCACGACGCTCCCGCCGGTTGTTAACACCGGAGACCTACAACTACCAAGTAACGACCAGGTGGTAGAGAGGCAGTGGTCATTGGTTCCTAAGATAGAGAGAGTCACGTCACACAAGCCTCCCGTCACAAGCCTCCCGCTGCTCAGGAGGAAAAAAAGTGTTTGTTCTTACGATGTTACGGTCAAGTCTCGGGAGGTAAAGGAAGTCCATGAAATAACTGGTGAAGGAAAATATATGACTCTCTACTTCGTTCCCGGGAGAGACTTTGAGTATATCAGCATAACGTTAAGCCTTACCTTTAGTGACCCAATATTATGGTTTTATAAAGAGAAACTTTGTGTTAGAGAGTTAGACCGAGGGTATAATGTTTCTATCAGGGCAGACGGGGGCGGGTACTGGGGGGTTGATGTAAAGTGTAACTGTCCTGAAAAAATATTATTATATACGGACTCATATTATACATTTAACTATATATCTGGGATGAAGGTACAGGCAAAAGGCACTTCCCGTTGGAGGAAACATTACTCGGATGATAACTGTCTCACTCAACCTTCTACCTCATCCACTACTGAGACAAACCCGACCCAGCCTGCCTCATCCACTACTGAGACAAACCCGACCCAGCCTGCCTCATCCACTACTGAGACAAACCCGACCCAGCCTGCCTCATCCACTACTGAGACAAACCCGACCCAGCCTGTCTCATCCACTACTGAGGGAAACTCTACCCAGATGACCACAAGCAACCCTCCCATTGTGACACGTTTTGTACTCCTGATGTTGGTGGTAGCGGTGGTAGTAGTGATAGTGGTGTTGGTGGTCGTGGTATGCTTAGTCTGTTACCGGAAAAGTAAGATCATACACATGTTATTTATTAAATTTTTTACGATTTATGAACAACAATTACTGTTTATATTATAGTGAACCCGAAAAACATGGTAGGTTAATATTCCGTGGTTATGGTAAGTGGGAAAGATGTTAAACAGACACTCGTTTTACAGGAAGTGTTGCAGATAAGTCGGCACGTTCTCTTGAAGCGCCTGTCGGATGTGACCCTCTGAGCAGTGAAGTGGATGACAATATAGACTTGAGGGAGCTCCGGGGCAGGCAGGGATCATCATACTTCAGTGACAACAGTCTCTATGGGGTCATTACTCAGCCTGAAGACACCCCTGCCAACCTACGATCATCATACTTCAGTGACAACAGTCTCTATGGGGTCATTACTCAGCCTGAAGACACCCCTGCCAACCTACGATCATCATACTTCAGTGACAACAGTCTCTATGGGGTCATTGCTCAGCCTGAAGACACCCCTGCCAACCTACGATCATCATACTTCAGTAACAACAGTCTCTAAGGGGTCATTAATCCTATCTTTCCTGAGACGAGAGACAACTAGGAACCCCCTCTCTCCCCGCTCTCTCTCTCTCTCTGTCTCTTGAAATACCGGTGTAATCATCGGTGTAAAAACCTACAATTGAAGTTTATCTGTTAATTAAGTCTTATATAATTATGAAAAATAATAACAACTGCCTGTCACGCGAAATGAGATAAACCAATTTTATATAACCTGTGCTAATGTAATCTACCCTAACCAAACCTAACCTAACCTATGCTAATGTAATCTAACGTAACCAAACTAAACTAAACGTAACTTAATTTAACCAAACCTGATCTACCATTCTTTAGTTTGATCGAGTCACTGCATCTCAAACAAGACTTATGTTTTTCACTACAGGTAAATTTTCATTACTTATCATGTATATAGATAATAACGTTAAGTTTATCTTCTAATACACCCACATAACTTGTAAAAAATAAATATATATTGATTTTGACATAAGAGTATTATTTCACCTCTAAGGCCTTGTGATTATCATCCAATACTCAGGTAAGTGATAATGATTTACTCAATATAAACACCGTTGTCTTTAAAAGCTGTTAAAACTATGATGGTTGATGTCAGGAATGTGTGTGTGTGGGGGGAGGGGTTGCCCACCCAAATTCATCGTCATTGTGAGGCAACTCCACGATAGCATGAACGGCAGTGTCGTGCACAATGGCACCCAGTCAGAGTTCTTCCTTACTCATGCCAGTGCCAATTTTGCCAGCAGGGTGGACATCCAGTGCCGGATGAAGGGTCTTTTTAACGTAGACGAATCCCGGCAGGAACAAAGGTGTCGGCCGCTTCCATCACTGAACTTCATTATACAGACGACCTCACCTTCGTCACTCACACTGAACGCGATCTACAGGAGATCCTGAACACCTACGCAGTTGCGTATGCACACTTCGATCTTGAAATAAATGTACGTATAACTCAGATTCTCTTTCAGCCTGCCCCTGGTTCAGTCATGCCTCCACCATCCATCCAGGTGAACGGTACTACCCTCTCTAATGTTACCCACTTAAGGTATCTCGGCTCCCACCTGTCCACCACCGATGAAGGGATTCAGCATCGGATCAGATGTGCATCTCAAGCCTTTGGCAGACTCCGTACCCGTGTCTTCAGCTGTAGGGAGCTGAAATTATCTAAAAAGATGCAAGTATATCGAGCAGTGGTCACATACAGGAGGCACCTCAAGGCACTTGAAAACTTTCACCAACGTAGTCTACGTTCCATCCTCTGAGTTCGCTGGGAAGACAAGAGAACAAATGCCAGTATTCTTGCTGGCTATGTTACCCGCATGGACGACAGTAGACTGCCAAAGCAGCTACTTTACAGTCACCCAACGAATAGTAAACGTAACGCTGGCGGGCAACTTAAATGGTAAAAGGAAAGTCTTAAGACAAACCTGAAAAAAGTGCCAAATCGACCCCCTCACCTGGGAGACGATCACTCCACACCGTAACTCTTGGAGGACAAGCACCAGCGCCAGAAGGAGCTACGCTGTCGCCGTCCTTCCCGCACTAGACGTAGCCCTCCACACGTGCAACATCTGTGGACGACACTGTCGGTCCCGTATCGGCCTCTTTAATCACCTCAGAGCTCACCAACGAAGGTAACATCCTTAATAACTCGTATAATTGTTTCATAGCTGGATGATCGTCATACTCGATTCCGAGTGACAGCAAAGTAATCGTAGAAGCGTGTGTGTGAGTTCCAGGCTGCTGGACGTGACCACATCCTGTCGAGAACATTGTCAACACATCCTTCAGATAAACTTCTCACCAGTTTTGTACAACATGTGACGCAGCTCGCTGAGACTCGCTGAAACCCACTGGTTCACTGGAACATACCGGTTGTTTCTGTGGTAAGTAACTTACTACAGAAACATATCCGGAATGTCTCAGTGAACCAGAGTTTGGATCACCCTGTTAAGTGAGATCTTATCCCATAGACAAAGTGTGTTTAATGACTATAATCATCCGTTAAGTATCCAAATTATGACACTTAAACAATATCAGTTATAATTATTTCCACTGGTGTATTATTTTTGCACTTGAGATTATCATATTGACTCAACTATGATGTACAAAATTCACCTTCGGTTAAGTTTAATGGTCACCTTAAGTTACGCCTGGCAGAGTAGGTCATCGTGTCCAGGTAATCCATCCTCAGGTACAGTCCAATGCCGTGTTAACCAAAATAACCTCTTGAACGACCCAATACAAGTCGGTTGTGAGCGGTTAGATAGACAAATAAACTCAATGATTTTTGGTTAAGTTATTAATTAATGTTGGTATCTAATTATTATCATTTCGGTGTGTCATTGGTCAATACAAACACAAGGATCAGTTCATTACCCAACACCTTGTTCTAAACTCTGCTCACTAGTGACGTCATTCCCACGAAACATCAGGGATTCGAAACACTCACGAACGAAGCTCCAAATCACACGTCATTGAGCTGGTAATCCAATTTGTCAAAATACGTATATATTTATCTTAGAAAACACAACGATCCACAAATTGTAATATATCTTCCATGACGCAAATTATCATCTCTTAATAATGTTGTTTTGTATAGAAGTAATTCAGTTTATAGTAGGTGAGTGAGTGAAGCGCTTCGACTCTTCTTTAATAGACTTAGTGAATCAGGGCGGTGCTGGGAGGTCCGGTCACTAGACAACACACCTCCCTAGACCAACCTCTTGCAGGGCCGGGCTGGCACACCTCGCTCCCGGGGCCTCTACTGACTGTCTGTTGCAGCTTCATACCGATGATAGTGATGGTGAAGTGATGGTGGTGGTGGGGAAGTGATGGTGATGGTGGGGAAGTGATGGTGATGGTGGGGAAGTGATGGTGGTGGTGGGGAAGTGATGGTGGTGGTGGGGAAGTGATGGTGATGGTGGTGAAGTGATGGTGATGGTGGGGAAGTGATGGTGGTGGTGGGGAAGTGATGGTGGGGAAGTGATGGTGGTGTGATGGTGAAGTGATGGTGATTCATGATAGTGAGTCTACAAAATCATTCCCAATAAATTTCATAAAAAGTTACGATACGATAAGAAAGGAAACTATAAGCGTAACAAGATGGTGGATGAGTAACAAGATGGTGGATGAGTAACAAGATGGTGGATGAGTAACAAGATGGTGGATGAGTAACAAGATGGTGGATGAGTAACAAGATGGTGGATGAGTAACAAGATGGTGGATGAGTAACAAGATGGTGGATGAGTAACAAGATGGTGGATGAGTAACAAGATGGCGGATGAGTAACAAGATGGCGGATGAGTAACAAGATGGTGGATGAGTAACAAGATGGTGGATGAGTAACAAGATGGTGGATGAGTAACAAGATTGCAGATGAGTAACAAGATGGCGGATCAGCACCTGTCAGAGTCGGGGGTCTAGATCTTTCTTATGAAAACAACTTGGAAACAGGTAATATATATAGTTATTAAATAAGAGGATTTGTATATGTGGACTACAATAAAACACTGTTGTTTCGTGGGTAGATGTATAAATATATATCAGGAATTGTGTATAGTTTCTGAGTTAAGTCACTCGATTATGAAGTTTATAGATGACAATTAAGGTAAAGATTAGAGCAGACGGCTAACATCTCTAGTTGTTTGATTTCTTTTATTTTTTTCTCCATGGATGTTCTCTTAATGATAGGAACTTATAAAAACGATGACAATATTTAATTTTAATTCTATATTTTTTCCAACTTTGATCACAAATTACGTATAGTGGGCAGAGCATGAAGGGTGAGGGAAATTATAGGATAAAACACGGTGAAACACTGATCATATAACACCAAAAATTATGTTTTGTACGTGAAGAAATTAATTATTTACCATAAACACTCCATCGAAAAAAACATGGGACATCCGCGCGCGTTGTCAGGGCCCGAGCGACACTCTCACTTGTTTCCCTGTCAGTGTAGCATATTCTTAGCATACTCCTACACCACTACATAAGCCTCTAGTCTCTCTCAAATTCTTCCTAACACAATGAGGCTCTGGCGGTGTTGAGTTACATAAGTTTTTTTTTTTTTACTAATTTAATACAAACTTCGAGTTGACCAGAATTAAAAATAAATACTCGGACAGGTTAACTCGTCTTAAGTTAAAGTATCTGACGTTCGATGTACGACCATCAGAACAATGAATAATAAAGTATAACTATTATTTATATATTGATACGAGTGAATTACGTTGAGTATAAAGTAGGTATTATGTAGTAGTGAAGGTATATGGTACAGTGAGTGGGAAGTGGAAGACTGATGAAGAGTAAACAGGTGGAGGAGGTGGAAGGTTGAGGGGGTGGAGGAGGAGGTGGAAGGTTGAGGGGGTGGAGGAGGAGGTGGAAGGTTGAGGGAGTGGAGGAGGTGGAAGGCTGAGGGAGTGGAGGAGGTGGAAGGAAGAGCAACAAGTGTGACTATTATATGCAAGTGAATGAAATAAACGTGATTTTTAGGTTAGGTTAGGTTAGGTTAGGTCAGGTTAGGTCAGGTTAGGTCAGGTCACGTTCGGTTAGGTTAGGTTAGGTCAGGTCAGGTTAGGGATTCTAGTCGATAAAATACTCAAATTGGACAAGAGAATCAGGCAAGAATACCCGACAAGTTGAAGTTAACCCGAAGTAACATCAGTTTACCCGACAAGCCGACGGGATATTGTTGTATTGTGAAGAAATATTGATGCGGTGTGGTGTAGGAGTGAGGGGAAAAGTATGGAGAGAGAGAGAGAAGAGAGAGAGAGAGGTGAGAAAGAGAGAGAGAGAGAGAGAGAGTGTAAAGACAGAGGAGCGAGTGTGGGCAGCTGACGTCGACCTTCTCCGCTGACAGTTCTGAGCATTGGTCCTGACACTTCCTCTCCGCCTCCCTCTCTCCCTCCTCCTCTTCCTCCCTTCCTTCCTCTCCTCCTCTCTCCTTCCTTCCTCTTCCCCATCTCTTTCTCTTAACTGACTGGTGTAAACAAAGGCTTAATTGGTATAAAATCTGATATATCACTACACACACACACGCACACACCATTCTCCCTATTTCCTTTTAAAATCGCTTCCTCCACTCCTCCCTCACCCCCTCCCCCTCCTCCCTCCCTCACCCCCTCCTCCTCCCCCCCCACGTGTAGAGGTGGGCGGCATACATCACACAGGGGCCATAATACCCACTAATGGAAGCAACCCACTACCCTCCCTGAAACTGTACACCCACCCCTTCTCTTCTCCCTTCTCCCTGTTTTTCTCCTCTCTCTCTCCCGTCTCTCTCTCTCTCTCTCTCTCTCTCTCGACACAAGACTGAAATCTGAAGTAAGCCTGAAACCGTGGGCCAATCAGCGAGTGTGTACCTAGTGTGTGTTGAGGAATATGATTGGATGATACCTGTACAGCGTTGACGAATCAGCGAGTGCGTCACACCTCACGCAATTTATAGAAAATGCCAACACATACATACACACATACTGTGCATACACACACACACATACATACATACATACTCGTACATACTCATACATACTCATACATACATACATACATACATACATGCATGTTAAACTTGCTTGGGCGCCTACTGAATCCACTTGCTGAAAGGTTCCTAAGCGGACAGACCTCAGAAAGTGTGTGAGAGGAAGGTGGTGGTAGTGGTGGTAGGTGGATGGTAGTGGTGGTAGGTGGATGGTAGGTGGTGGTAGGTGGATGGTAGTGGTGGTAGGTGGATGGTATGGTAGGTAGGTGGTGGTAGTGGTGGTAGTTGGGGTGGATGGTAGTAGGTGGATGGTGGTGTGGTGGAGGTGGTGGTGGGTATGGTGGTGGTAGGTGGATGGTGAGGTGGATGGTGGTGGTGGTGCAGTGGTGGTATGGTAGTGGGTGGTGAGTAGTGGTGGTAGGTGGATGGTAGTGGTGGTAGGTGGGTGGTAGTGGTGGTAGGTGTGGTGGTGGTGGTGGGTGGATGGTGTGGTAGGTGATGGTGGTGGTAGTGGTGGATGGTGTGGTGGTGTGGTGGTGATGGTGGTGGTGGGTGGTATGGTAGTGGTGGTAGGTGTGGTGATGGTGGTAGGTGGTGGTGGTGGATGGTAGGTGGTGGTAGGGTGGTGGTAGGTGGTGGTGGGTGGTAGTGGTGGGTGGTGGTAGGTGGTGGTGGTGGTTGGTAGGTAGTGGTGGTAGTTGGCACTGGACAATAAGGACGAGGAGGAAGAGGTGGAGAGACTAAGAAGAGAAGGTGAGAGGTGAGAATTAACACCCGGGAGAGGGAGGAGAGGGAGAGAGGGGAGGGAGGGAGGGAGGGAGAGGGAGGGAGAGAGGAGGGAGAGGGAGGGAGGAGAGGGGAGAGGAGGGAGGAGGGAGTCCGTGTTTTAGTGAGAGGTAATAGGTAATTGAAAGAGTGATAAGAAGTTTAAAAGTTTATATCTGGGGTTTAATGTGTGTGTGTGTGTGTGTGTGTGTGTGTGTGTGTGTGTGTGTGTGTGTGCAGCAAATCTCAACATACGCATCATGTGCGTCGGGTCTAAACCTTTCACTCGACCTTATATGTGGTACGTGATTAAGGACCCCAACAGAAGTTCACGGTAAGTACTTGTCCGTTGTTGCCTGTCCGTTGTTGCCTGTCCGTTGTTGCCTGTCCGTTGTTACCTGTCCGTTGTTACCTGTCCGTTGTTGCCTGTCCGTTGTTACCTGCCCGTTGTTACCTGTCCGTTGTTACCTGTCCGTTGCTACCTGTCCGTTGTTACCTGTCGGATGGTGGCTGAGAAAGTATGCCCTATTTTCTTCAAGAACTTGTATTGAAGAGATCCAAGACATTTTCCTCAATGTTTTCTTCTTTCTTCACTTGACTTCTGCCAGAGTTGAGGAGAGTTTGATCCAGTCTCACATTAACAACACTACTGGCATTAATACATAGAGAATATTTAATACATAGAGAATACATGGAGAATACATTGAAGAAGATACGTTTGATTATCTAGGTTTTTAAGTAATAATAATAATAATAATAATAATAAAGTCTCCATCATGGTTCCCCCCCCCTTAGAGACAAAACGATAGAATCCTCGGAAAGTTTAGAATCCTCGGAAAGTTTGGAATCCTCGGGAAAGTTTGGAATCCTCGGGAAAGTTTGGAATCCTCGGGAAAGTAATGAAGTTTTAAGTGAGTCATAGAGCCAATCATCCCCTAATTAAAACACACTTGAAGAGAGAGCCAGAGTGAACAGCCTGACATAACACTCACTAGACCCGAGGCCCTTGAAGTTTATTTTCTTTCTGCATTAAACTTCTTAGATTTCCGTCGCCGGCTTTACCTCCCTGGCCAACTACTTAAAATGTAATTATGGTCTAAATACCCTGTGACGAACTGGGTATAGTGAGGCGCCGCCCACAGTGCCAAGGGGGTGGGGACTTGTGGCACCGGACGACCAATCACGGTACACGGAATGCCGAAATATAAACAAGGTGCCAGGAGGAAGATGTTTACCTCGTGTGTTTATGTCTATCTGGTGCTTTTGTTTATAGTATGATTATATAAAAGTGTAAACAGTTTAATTAAAGTTGTGTTGAAAATTGAGTTGTTTACAAGGATATGATTAAGACTGTAATGTGTTTTGGATTATATTATTTTGTTGTGTTGTGGTTCAGGGCCAGCCGGGGGGGGGGTATGTGGGCGGGGCTTCATGATGCCAGGTGCCAGCAGTGCCAGTAAGCGGGCCACCCTCCACCACCCACAGTCCATCTTACGCCGCCCATCATAACCGCCCAACCGAGTAAAAATTCCAACTGGTAGTTAATATACAGCGTGGAAGTTATATTGTTGATGGTAAATTATGTTCTCTAGTTGGTGAGGCCGTGAGGGTCATCAGCGTGAAGATAATAATAATAATAAGGTATTTGTGGTGAGGCGGGTCCAGTGTTACTCGTGGACGGTGAACACAAAATGTCGGTGGTGGAAGAATAATGTTGTAATTTACGCCGTTTTAGACGATCCCAAGAACTTCACTGTTAAGTAGAATCTTCGTTTATGATTTGTATGTAATGTTAGAGTCTCCTCCGCCTGGAAGTACGTATTCAGGTCCAGGAAAACATCTGTACCAACAACTGCGTCTGTGGGCGGGTCTTTGCCTGTATCGTCAGGATGGTCGTCATCACATCGCCCTCAGGAGTGGAGACCAGCGTGTGTCTCTCCTGCTGACTGAGAGATATTAGTTACTACTGAAGAGATTTTTCCTTAGACATCTCGATCTCTTCCCCGAGAACCTTCCTCCCCCAGCAGGATGTCTCGCTCCTTCCTCATCAGAGACTTGTTGTGGGGTCACGACCGTCGAGGAGCGGCGTCGACCGACAACAGTAGTGTGGTGGGTCTTGACCTCACCACCCGCTCCCAGGTAAACCTCGACGCCCAGGTAAACACCCAGGTGAAGCCAGACACTCAGGTAACCTCAGTTCCTCCTATCCATCCTATCGCCGCCGCTAAGCCAGGTGTTAAGGCCAGGTCGGAGGCTCACACGGCCACAGACACGTATTGTCAGGTCAACCCGAGGACGTGTGAGGCTCGGGGGGGCTCATCAGAGGCGTGCAGGTGTGAGGCGTGTGTCCAGGCCGCGGGTAATGGTGATGACTACGACGCCACACCAGTGCCACAACACACCTGCCTCCACCACCTTAAGAGCCCTTCAGCTGGCCGAGCGACTGATGACGGCCTTCAAGAACACCCGCGGGAGTCCTCAAGACCCTGTACCTCCAGCCCACGAGTCGATGATGACTCCTGTACACACAAGTGCGGCGAGTGTGTCACCTGGAGGGCCGCTGACCCCTCCACTCCCCCAGCACCTTCTCCACCACCATCACCCTCACCGCCTCCTCCTTCGCCTCCGTCACTACGCATCCACCGGCAGACCCCATCGCCGTCCACCATGGGGTCAACACGTCCTTCTCTATTACCCGGATTTCCTCGTCCTTCTTATGGCGCAGCTAGGGAACTCCTAAGACCCGACAAGAGCCTCGGGTTCGGTGATATGAGGAGGTTCCTTCCACTACACGGCGGCGGCGGGCGGCACGTGTACGGCGGCGTGCCTCTCGTGCCGCCCCACCACCACCACTACTTATGGGCGGCACAGTACTCCTCCCTCCTCTCTTCCCTCCCCTTGCAAGGTACGTGATGCTCCACCACACCCAACCATCCATCACCAACCACTTTACTAACACAACACCCATAGACCAACACTCGTACACCCACGACTTGTATCTACACTTGCATACAAAGAGTAACATCCACACACACACTCATCACATCAGTCTTAAGACACACAACAATATCCTTATAATAATCTACATTCAATATAAAAAAAAAAAATCATGGTTTATTTTAGATGGTTTAATAGTGAGGTTTATTAAGGATGGTTTAGGTTTTAATATTTATAAAAAAATAAAAGATTTAATATGATGTAAATAATAGAAAAGCCGGATTAATTTTTGGTAATAGAATGTGTTTACCAAGATTAATTTACACCTGGATTAAAATCAAGATTAATTATTACCCGGATTAAAACCAATATTTTATACCTGGATTTAAACAAAAATTAATTTATATTCCGGATTAAAACCAAGATTAAGTTAAACGTGGATTAAAACCAAGATTAATTATTACTCGGATTAAAACCAATATTATTTTATATCTGAATTAAAACCAAGTAAACGTGGATTAAAACCAAGAGTAGGGTAGATGTGGATTAAAACCAAAATTTAATTATTACCCGGATTAAAACCAATATTTTATACGTGAATTAAAACCAAGATTAAACTAAACCCCGGGTTGATACTAAGATTAAGTTAAATCCCAGAGAAATATCAAGATTAATTTTAACCTGGATTAAAACTAATATTAATTTATACTGTAATGATAACAAGATTAATTTAAACCCCGATCAAAACCAAGATAGAGTTAAAAGCCGGATTAATACTCTCTGATAATCCCTGTCTTTGAGCACCAAACTAATGATATTAATAATACTTTAAGTAATTAGTATTATTTATTTTACCTGAAGAAACTCACCTGAATATTATGCTAATTAAACACCCTAGTTTATTTTACCTAAGAGAAGAATCACTAAATAGCGAAAAAATTCTAGAAAACATTAATAAGATAATTATTAATCACTCGACGAATTGCAAACCACAAATCTCTAAGGATTGTAAATGATTGAATTGATTTACACCTTTTACGTCCTTAAATCAAGTACAGTGAGACGTTTTATGTATCTGTAAATATACGTGTACGTTTGTAAACATTTGTAAATAACTAAACATTCATAAGCATCTATAAACACCTGTAAGCACCTGTAATCAACTGCAACAACAAGACACATCTGTAAACACCTGTAATTATCTATAAACAACTAGAAACACCTGTAAATAACTGTAAACACCTGTAAACAATTAGAAACACCCATAAATAACTATAAACACCTGTAAATAACTAGAAACCCCCCTGTAAATAACTGCAAACACATGTAAACATAAATATCTCAGCTGTACCAATCGACTAGGAAAAAAATATACAGTTTCCGTTTTCCCAAGTATAAGAAAGGAGTCAGTTCAGTTGTAAGTAATAGAGAGAGTTGACCAATCTATCCGATGCATCCAGCTGACGAGTCAACCCGAGAGGAAAGAGGGAAGGAGGAAAGGAGGAGGAAAGAGGAAGGAAAGAGGGAGGAAAGGAGGATGAAAGGAGGAGGAAAGAGGGAGGAAAGAGGAAGGAAAGAGGAAGGAAAGGAGGAGGAAAGGAGGAGGAAAGAGGGAGGAAAGAGGAAGGAAAGAGGGAGGAGGGAGGAAAGAGGAAGGAAAGGAGGAGGAAATTTGATGAGTATAAAATGAACACGAGGGAAAAATACTCTGGGTGGAAACTAGTTGTGGGTGACAGGAAAATAGTTATTGTAGAGCGGAAAATAGTTATTCCTTAAAAAGTCGATATTATCAAGGTTACTAGTATTTAGGTACTTAAATACAGTTACTTCACTACTTAAGAGCGCTGATACTACACTTTATAAGTACACAAGGTGAATGAATGTCTGTCTGCAGTATTGTAAGTGTAAAGTAACAATGGGAATATGAAATAGTAACTAAATACAGTTTAGGGGAAGGAATACGTGTATGTATGTATGTATGTATGTATGCATGTATGTATGCTATGGAATGGTGTGTGTGTGTGTGTGTGTATGAGTATGTATGTATGTATGTATGTAACGGAGTCTCGACAAAGAATTAAAAATTCCAAAATTTTTACCAAATTCATAAAAAAAATTCACACGAAAGAAGAAAGAAAAAAAAATCTGAGAAAAAATAATCTTGGTTTTTGTTATTTTAATTAAGCCACAAATTATATATTTATTATTGTTGTTATGTTGTGTGTGCGTTATATTGTAATTTATTATATGTAATGGAAATATATTATTTATATATACAGTACTTATATAGATATTATAGTAGGTACGTTTATCACTGAAAGGCGAAAGAGAGGTTTCAGGGATATAATTTATTTGGTACAATATTACATAAAATGTGCACCAGACAGCAAGGCAAATATGTTTACTACACACACCCCACACACACACACACATCCTACACACACACACACACACACCCTACACACACACACACACACACCTACACACACACCTACACACACACCCCACACACACACACACCTACACACACACACACACCCTCACACACACACACACACACACACCTACACACACACACACACACACACACACACACACACACACACACACACACACACACACACACACACACACACACCCTACACACACACACACACACACACACACACCCTACATACACACACACACACACACACACACACACACACACACACACCCTACACACACACACACACCCCACACACATACACTCCTGATAGCATCACGTCGTACTCTGAGTCAAATTGGTCTCCAGGCCGCGCTGCTTCACGATCCCGAACTTTAAACAAGTCTGCAGTGCGGAGGTGTAGTTCAGGCCCCACCAGTATCAAAGCCTCTTATCGTAACAACCAAGCTCGGGCGACTCACCCGGGAAAAAAATAAGATAAAAATTCTGTTTTGATAAGTTGGCCGTGTGAGACCAACAATTTACTGACGTCACTGATGACCTTCCGTGTGCGTCGATGATTGGTCGGGCCCGCAAGTCAAGCTTACTTTGTATTCTCGGCGGCAATCGAATTGGCCAGCTTTGACAAGACGTCACTGTCAGGCCTCGGCGTGTTACAACCGGATTGGATGCAGTAGAGGTCACTGTTGATCCCTTGGTACGAGGTGATTGGTTGTGGGGGTGGGAGGACGTAACAAATGACGTCACTGTTGATCCCTTGGTACGAGGTGATTGGTTGTGGGGGTGGGAGGACGTAACAAATGACGTCACTGTTGATCCCTTGGTACGAGGTGATTGGTTGTGGGAGGACGTAAATGACTCATGTTGATCCTTGGGGTTGGGGGTGGAGGACGTAACAAATGACGTCACTGTTGATCCTGTACGAGGTGATTGGTTGTGGGGGTGGGAGGACGTAACAAATGACGTCAGTATTGTGATATCCCAGTGATATAATTGGCTAGGATCAGGGACCACTGTATATGTAAGCCACAAGCGAGTTATACTTTTTACCACAATAGCGTTAAGGGACTCGATCCAAACCCCTTGAGACCTTGATATTCTGCTCAGCCTAGAAACATCAACCCTACAACCCCCTCCTTACCACCCCATCAACCACACCCCCCACCTACCCCCACTTACCCCCACAATCATCATTTTCCCTCCACTACAACTCTACCCCCCTCCCCACACATGCACTACCAACCTACCATAACCTCACCTCCCCAACCCTCAACCTCACCTCCCAACCCCCAACCCCCACCTCACCTCCCCCAGCCCCACCTCCTCCCCAGCCCCCAGCCTCCTCCCCAGCCCCCAGCCTCACCTCTTCCCGGCCCCCCCTCCTTTTAGCTAGTTCAGTTTAGTGTAATAAGGGACGGGTGGAGAGTGTGTGAGGGGTGTGTGTGGCCCGGGTGAGAGTATAGTGCCAGTAGAGGGCCACAACACAGCAGGTAGAGCCAACAGAGTGACACGATCAACAGGTAACAGAAGGTAATTTAAAACCCTCTTGGTCGGGGAAGTAATTAACAGGACAGGTGGGCGAGTGACGTTAAGGTTATCTGAAGCTATTTGTAAACATCGTCGCTTGCTGCTGTCTCTGAACACCTTCAGGAGAGAGAGAGAGAGAGAGAGCCTTCAAAAGAAATAATCCATTATAAATAAACAAAATGCCACACAAAACACAAAAATGTTCCACACACAAATTAATATTAAAACTCATATTTTCTACTCATTTATAAAAATTTCAATCCTGAATTTTAACGAGGCTACCCCCACCCCCAAAAAAAATCTTTAATCATATTTTCTCTTTTTAGTGTATAAATTAATGTATACAGTTTACAAAACCTACCCAAAATACCACTGTATATAATCTGTAAGTATATTTAGAATTAGACTTTAAATACAAAATACAAAATAAAGTTTGTATTTTTTGTCCCGGGTAAAACATAAATTGAATTACATGGACTACAGACTCACATGAATTCTGAAATATTCTGAAATAGTTATGTTAATACCCGGGAATATTGTCAGTTATGAGGGATATTTTGTTATTTATGTTGATAACTTGTTCACTGTGGCGAGGGGTATTGTTATTGTTGTTATTATTATTGTTGTTATTGTTGTTATTATTATTGTTGTTGTTGCTGGAGGTGTTATTATTATTATTATTACTATTCATTATTTACTGCTTATTTAATCACAGTTATTATTCAGTCGTGATTATCTTACGTACACACGTACACACACACACACACACAGGACACACTAGATATCAAGTTCCGTTCAATATTACTTTTAATAAAAAACAAATTAAATAATAATCACAAAGTCCTTTACATGAACGCATAATTTATATTTCCCATATACACAAATTTATAAATCCGGTATTTTACGCATTAGTGGTTAGTCTTTATACGCATTAAGGATTTAGTATATGACGCAGAACGCAATTTTGTTTAAGCTGGTGGACGCGCGTTGTGTTTATCTACACGAGCCTGACCAACACCATAACAGAGACGATGATCAAGATATTTTTTATATCCGTGTAAGATTAATTTATTTTTGTTGGTGTTATCTTCATCACACCAACATGTCACCAACACCACTATTATCTCACCAACACCAACTTATCACCCATCTTTACCAACATCCCTCTCCCCACCCCCCCAGCCACCCCTCATCACAACACCCCTCTCCTCCACCACCAACACCCTCTCCCCCACCACCACTGCTTACCCCTCTCTCCCCACCCCCCCAAACACCCTCTCCCCCAACACCCCTCTCCCCCACCCCCAACATCACAAACACCATCACCAACGCTACAACATAATATAATTTCCGGCTCAATTTCCTTCTTTAGTGATCTGTCGCTCGAATCCACACAATTTCCGTTCTAATCTGGGCCGATGTTCACTCTAGTTGCCACATCTTCAGCTACGACTAAACCGCCCGTCATCCCACTGAATTTTGACTCGTGTTATGGTACCTGATGCTGGTGAAATTATCTCTCTGCTTATGATTGGTTTAGAGAGTACTGTTCGTATCCTGATTGGGTGTGGTGGTTGTGTAATGAGAGAGAGAGAGAGAGAGAGAGAGAGAGAGAGAGAGAGAGAGAGAGAGAGAGAGAGAGAGAGAGTAATGAAAAGTCTATCCACCGGAAAGACAAGAAATGAAGGCTAGAGTAAGAGACAGACAGACAGACAGACAGACAGACAGACAGACAGACAATATTTACAGATCAGACAGACTTATACTAAATCCTGTAAATGATTCTGTAACTATATTTGAAAGAGGAAAGAGAGGAGAAGACGACGGAGGAGGAGGAGTACGAGGAGGAGTACGAAGAGAGGGAGGGAGAGGAGGGAGGAGGGGGAGAAAGGGGAGGAGGGAGAAAAGGGGGAGGAGGGTGTTATGATTTTATTAGAGAAAAACAATTAAGTCCATTCAATTGTCTAAGTACAAATTGCTAAAACAAATGGTAGTGTTTGGATAAAGTTATTACACAGGGGAGAGGGGTAGAGAGGGGAAGGGGTAGAGAGGGAAGAGGGGTAGAGAGGGGGTAGAGAGAGGAAGGGGTAGAGAGAGGGAAGGGGTAGAAGGAAGGGGGTAGAGAGGGGGAAGGGGGTAGAGAGGAGAGGGGGGTAGAGAGAGGGAAGGGGGTAGAGAGGAAGGGGGTAGAGGAAGGGGGTAGAGAGAGGGAAAGGGGTGAGAGAGGGAAGGGGGTAGAGAGGAGAGAGGGGTAGAGAGGGGAAGGGGGTAGAGAGGGGAAGGGGGTAGAGAGAGGGAAGGGGAGAGAGAGGGAAGGGGGTAGAGAGGGGAAGGGGTAGAGAGGGGAAGGGGGTAGAGGGAAGGGGGTAGAGGGAAGGGGTAGAGAGGGAAGGGGGTAGAGAGGGGAACGGGGTAGAGAGAGGGGGAAGGGGGTAGAGAGGGAAGGGGGTAGAGAGAGGGGGTGGAGAGAGGGGGGAAGGGGTGGGGAGGGAAGGGGTAGAGAGGGAAGGGGTAGAGAGAGGGGAAGGGGAGTGAGAGGGGAAGGGGGTAGAGAGGGGAAGGGGGTAGAGGGAGAGGGAAGGGGGTAGAGAGGTGCAGGGGTAGAGAGGGGAAGGAGGAGAGAGGGAGGGAGTAGGGAGGAGGAGGGCAGGGTTGAGGGAGGTGGGGAGGGTGACAAGGGCAGGCGGCTGGGTGTGTGGCATCCTCTCAGAATCAACTAACACGACGCGGGAATGTCAACAAGTACTGCTCTTCCCCTCCCTCTCTCCTCCCTCCCTTCCTCTCCTTCCTCCCCCTCCCTTCCTCTCCCCTCCCTCTCTCCTCTCCCCCCTCCCTCCCCTCCCATCACTCCCCTTTATCCTCCTCCCACGCAACATTTTTTTATTCACCCTCCCACTCACTCTGCCTCACTCTACCCTCACCCTCCCACGCAACTTTCCCCCTCCTCCTCCTCCCACACACTCTCCCTCTTGAGTGGGTAGAGTGAGGTGGGGGGGAGAGGTGGAGAATGAAAATGTAAATACTCGTGTTCAGCTCCAGAGTTCGGGGGTTTAATAGAATTCAACCCTCCCAAATATCACTCATTTCGAAGCCTAGTTCTCTTGCCTACCACCACCACCACCATGATGCGAGGGTTTCGGTACTGCTAATTCATTCCCAGTCATTGGTAGTGGGGCAGAGAGTAATCAGCCGTGTAACTCGACCGTAAATGTGTGTTTCAGCGGATGTAACACGACAGCTTAAGCTAGAGCATCTGGTCATGAACCAATTACAGAAAACGGAACTGAAAAGGATGAAATTATGGGGGTAACAAAACTAATTTCCACTGAACTCCACCACATATACTACTATTTAAATTTTTTTCCATTAACTTGGTAATTTAATAACTAGCTTGAATTGGGTTATGTGTATGGATTATCCGGGTAAGTTTGTAACGGAATAATATATAACTAAAGTATAACGAAATGATAAAATACAACGAAATGTAACGAATCGTCCCAGAAAATAAAAATAGCCGCTCTAGCTTACAATGTAATATACCCAGAGTTACTCCTACCCAATAATATAACGTAATATAGCAAAGTATTATGAACTACACCATTAATAACCCTACTTATATATTCAATTTCATATACGTCACATTATCCAACTTCCACCCAGTATATCGAGCAAAGCAATTTTACTTATCATTTATTCTCACTTAAAAACACGCCACTGTATTTCCTCTGCCAATTCAGATAGGTATTTCCGTCCTAGTAAATTGGGTAAGGGGCTTAACCCACTCAAATGCGCACAGCCACAGTGAGAATGATATTTACGGTCCCGAGTTAGCAGGTGTGTGTGTGTGTGTGTGTGTGTGTGTGTGTGTATGTGTGTGTGTCTGTGTGTGTGTATTTCATGGGATAATTTCAATATATTACAATAATAACTAAAGAAAAAACACGTGATAAAAAAAAACAAAAAACAAACAGAAAAACAAACACTCGTAAACAAACAAAACAACGTAAATAGAGAAAAAAAAAGCAAGTAGAAACAACACATTTAAACAAATTCAGGTATAACAGAAAAAACGGTAAAAAAAACATGAAAAAAAACAGGAAAAACAGAAAAAACAACACACTCGCGTTGCCTTACAGAAATGGACTCAAACCTGCCATTCAGACGGACATGAAAAGATCGATATTTCCTCTTCTATTTACAACCTGGGGTCAAGAGAGTGCTAAACCGCGACACCTGATACCTTGTCCAATTACCGACCTTTTGGAGTTGTGCCTTTAGGTTCTCGCCCTCTCTACCTCTCGTGGGGGGGGGGGGAAGGGTATACATATTTTGATACACATACATACACGCACGTACATACTTACACAGAGATAGACTGAGAGTTTATACACACACAAAGATACATACACATCACAGATACCCACAGAAAGACAGACAGGCATGTACACTCACTAACACACACACGCGCACACATGATACATTCTGAATACATGATGATAAATACGACTACAACTCTTAATTACAGGTAGACACACCTTGGGATATACAGGTAAACATGCACTAGGGGTTTTAATGAGCCAACCCCAAGGTGTTTACCAACTCCCTTTGTGGGATTTGGGGAGTGTTTTGTATGTAGGATTTGGGATTTTTCTGTAATCCTTCTCCCTCTCCCCTCCCCCCTCTCTTTTTCTCTCTCCCCAGATTAACCTCCCCCTCCGCCTCTCTCTCTCTTTCTCTCTCTCTTCCCCCCCAGACCATCCCCTCCCTACCTCTCCCTCTCCCTCCCCTCCCTCCCTCTCTCTCCCTAGACTAACCTCCCTTCTTTCTCCCCAAAATAACCTCCCCCTTCTCTCTCCCCCAGATTACGAGGTTACAAGCCCCAGCACGCCAGCACGTAGTAACAGCCCCCCAGTCCCTGTTCCCGTGCCAGTGTACGTAAGGACCCGACCCTCTGCCGTGCCTGACACCTCTACCAAGAAGTGCCGCCGATCACGTACTGTTTTCACTGGTAAGGGCTGCCTGGCACTGTCCCTTGGCACTCTACTAACAGTGCCACGTGGGAATAAATTAATAATAACGTAAATAAGTGGATGAATAAGTAGATAGGCTAATTAATGAAGAGGAACAGATAAAATGATTGATAATTATACGTGGAGATATATGAATAAATGAGGGAATTAATACATAAGTTGATAAATGAATGATTGGATAGAGGGAAAGAGATTAAATATGTATATGAATAAAAATATACATAAATGAATAAATAGATGATAATAAAAAAGTGTAATAAATTAATGAAAGGTATAGATAAGAGAAACAGGTATATGAATAATTAATTAGATAAAATACATAGATACATTACGTAGATAAATAATTAAGTAGGTAAATATATTGATATATGAATTATTACATATATAAGTGATAGATATAGGAGTGATTACTTGGACATTTGAATACGGTAATTAGGTTGGGTGATTAGTAGATAATGAATTAGAAGAGTGATTAAGATTGTACGGTAGAATTATTTATTTATTTTGATTATATTTGGATTTGCTTTATTTTTCTCTTTCTTTTTCCCTTCCCTCTCTCATTCTCTTTCCTTTCCTCTCTCCCTTCTCCCTCACTATCTTCCTCTCTCTCCCTCTCCCCCCCCCCTATTTCAACCCTCCCATTGATAAAGATTCGACTCCTCAGAGCTTCAGTTGGTTGGTTTGGAGCGACGGTTCGAAGCCCAAAAGTACCTGAGCACACCGGATCGAGTCGACCTGGCTCGATCTCTGGGCCTGACGCAGCTACAGGTGAAGACGTGGTATCAGAACCGCCGGATGAAGTGGAAGAAACAGGTGAGAGAGAGAGAGAGAGAGAGAGAGAGAGAGAGAGAGAGAGAGTACCACCCCTTCGACAACAACAACAACTACACCCACAACGTAAACACAGACAGCCTGGGGTGTAGAAGTGTCGGGTCGGCTCTTAACACTCGGCTTAGAGAGGGACATCCTGTGCGTGTGTGTGTGTGTGTTTTTACGACGTCTTTTACCGAGTGCGTTTGTTCACCCACCGGCTGCCACCCCGTCAGGAGTAAGTGATGGTTCCCTTTACTGATGGTTTACTTTGGCAATTACTACACGAAGGTTGTCCATGTGGGGAGGGGTGGGTAAGGGGAGGGGTGGGTAAGTGTAAGGGGAGGGGTGGGTAAGTGTAAGGGGAGGTATACTGCAGGTAAGTGTAGGGGAGGGGTGCGTAGGTGTAGGGGAGGTATAGGTAGGTGTAGGGGAGGGGTGGGAACATCTCTTAAGACGTAGGGGATCAACAAGGCTCTCTTGTTGTCTGACGGGTCGACCAAACAGTTTCCACACCGACCAGAACCTATTATGTGGACTCAGAACGGGATTAGCTTATAACAACGGAGGGTGTTTGGTTAGGTTAGGTTTGGTGATTAGTATATGCTATAGCGGTGCGTGGAGTTAAGTTAGTTTAAAATTAATGTAGGTTAGGTTAGAAATACGTTTAGGTTAGGTTATGTTTTGGTTATGTTACGTTATGTCATGTTATACCACAAACCATGATCAGTCTAACTCCGGGGAATAGCGAATCACACTTTACAATCCCGCGAGCTAAAGAATCACTCCCACCAAGACACATTTAACTGTAGTAAATTCCTCTCTAACTTCTAACACATATTTACGGGCCACAGTAATGAAAAATAAACACCTCTCTAATTGGGTAAAAAAACATCGACACTGACCAATAAGCAACGAGGATCTCCGTGAATCATAACAAAACACAATAAACTCTATCAACTGGATGGAATCAGATCCTACATAAATCAGTATCTAAGAAGAGATTGAAATTGAATACAAGACCGCGGGAATAAGATTAGATCGTGTATCCAGTACTATCTTACGCCCCCGACAATGAAACAGTCTCTGAGGCGAGTATAAATGCCTGAAATTGGCCCACCAAAACAATGGAGCATCAAGTCTCGGTCTGTCATATTCAAAGGGGATTGGATCCGCTCTCTGGTTCAGCCGCTTTGTCTCGGAGGGAAATATGATCAGTGAGGGTTGATGCCGAGACGTCTTCCCTGATATTGGTGTTAGTGTGTGTGTGTGTTATTGGTGTTGATTATTCTAGTATTATTGGTGCTAGGTGTTAGGAGGAGAGAATTAATATAAGAGGTGAGGGCTAAGGGGAGAGAGTTGGTCTTAATCCCTTTTAAGTATCTTTAATACGCAAAATCCATCTCTCTCTCTCTCCTCCCTCCCTCTTTCTCTCACTCACTCCCTCTATGCCCTCATTAACCTTCACCTTTGACACAGTTCATAGTGCATTTGTGACCTCGAAATACCCCCCCCCCCCCCCACCCAAAACCTCCTTCCACTTTGTTTCCATTAACACGAATGAATGAAACATCAACTTAATAATGTAGCCAATCAGATTACCTGTTTCAAACCTAGTACTGATGACCCTGGCTTGTGATTGGCTGAATTTCCTTGTTTTTTTTTTAACAGTGACATTATGGATACAGCGGTAGAGACGGGAGAAGTTGATACGGTGTTTTGAGTTCTGTATATCATCTGTTTCGAGTCTCTGTTTGGACGGACGGATACAGACACAAAACGAACGTACGCAGATATAAAATGGACGTACGCAGACACAAAACGGACGTACGCAGACACAAAACGGACGGACCCAGATATAAAACGACCAGACCAGACCAGACCTAATGAATCACCTGAAGACCAGACACCCAAATCTATTATACGTGATGATTAAACACCCTAACCTAACCTAACCTAATACAGCTTAACCTAACCTAAACTGAGGGAGTTATGGTGAGGATAGTGATGATGATGATAGTGAGAATGATGGTGTTGTGATAGTGAGGCAGATGTGATTTAGACGATAGTGAAGAATCGTGGATGACAAGGACGAGTTAACAGGTACACCTAAATTGAAAACAAATATATACGTAATATGCCGAGTCATCATGATGTAGCAAATTTCGTTTACGCCACCCTTCACCCTCCCCACCACCCCTTCCTCCACCCACACACACACACATACTGCTAAATACACGTTCGCCAGCTCACTCACTCCTGCACAGACAGACAGACACAGACACACATATGAGGCGGCTACCCTCTTACAAGCCGACTAATCATGACTGAACTTAGTGTAATAGTTTGTGAACATGACCCGGAACTATGTCCAACTGAAGGGTCCTAACTCAGGGTCACACACAAGTTATTCTCTCCTGCTGGTGGAAGCGTCGGAGTCAGTGGAGGGTACGACCGATATCCCTTCCTTCCTTCCTTCCCTCCTTCCCTCCCACTCCTTCCTTCCGTCTGATTGCCATTCCCTTCCTTCACAGCTCCTCCCTCCCTCCAACCGACATGTGTGTGTACAGTATGTATATATATGTATGTATTCAAGATTATAAATTCACTCTATTTTACATACTGATACATATACGGACACACACACACACACATACACACACACACACACACACACACACACACACACACACAGACACACACACACAGGTAACTAACATAATTATCACAATCACTCAGGTAATGTTGGAAGGCAGCAAGGAACCGCCCACCAAACCTAAAGGCAGACCAAAGAAGAACTCCGTCCCATCCTTCGCTGAGCTGCAGAGGATGAGAGAAGAGGAAGAGGAGAGGAAGAGGAGGACAACACAGGAGGAAACAACACAAACAATTACTCTCACGACCCCTGAGGAGGAAGGAGGGGAGGAGGAAGAAGAGGAAGATGAGGAGGAAGAGGAGGAAGGGGAAGAAGGAGGAGGAGGAGGAGGAGATGGGGATGATGATGAGGAAGAGGTTGATGTTGGGGTAGAGATGAGGTTGATGGGGACGGATATGGAGGTTCAGGATGGGGTGGAGTGTTATGGTGGGGAGGGGAACCTCTTTGATGGAGGGGAAGGTTATGTGGTTAGAGGTTTAGGTGGGGATGGGCAGTGAGGGGAGGAGCAGGGGGAGGAAGGGGCACTGAGGGGAGGTGCAGTGAGGGGAGGTGGAACGGGGTGGGGCAGTGAGAGTAGGAGGAACGGGGAGGGGCAGTGAGAGAAGGTGGAGCGAGGAGGGGCAATGAGAGAAGGTGGAACGGGGAGGGGCAGTGAGAGAAGGTGGAGCGAGGAGGGGCAGTGAGAGAAGGTGGAACGGGGAGGGGCAATGAGAGAAGGTGGAACGGGGAGGGGCAGTGAGAGAAGGTGGAGCGAGGAGGGGCAGTGAGAGAAGGTGGAACGGGGAGGGATAGAACCAAGTTTAATCTTGCCCCACAATGAGTTACTACACATCTAATATTTTCCTCCTTACTGATACTAAACAAATGTATCCACAGAGATGAGTCACTATCTATCTACCTAGGGGGGGGTCAGGTTAGGTCAGGTCAGGTTAGGATTGTTGTTGATTTATTACCATTTATTACCATCTCTTCAGTTAACACAAAGATAATATTCTCTCTCTATATAATAAATAATGTATTTTCTTAGGGTAATTTCCTTTTAGCTCTTTAAGAGGTTGTGGGTCCAATTGGCCCCCATTTCTAATAGGTCCTGACCCAGCCATACTATTAGGGCTAGGTCCACACTCCTAATGGGTTTAAGTCCTAGTGATCTCCCAAGGTATTTCACCCTTGATTGGTTAGGTTAGATTATAATGGGTTAGGTTCGGTTAGGTTAAGTTAGGTTAGGTTAGGTTAGGTTAGGTTAGGTCTTGTTCGGTTAAATTCAGGTTAGGTGAGGTTAGGTTTTATGAAGTTAGGTTATGTTCGGTGATAGGTTAGGTTAGGTTTCTTCGGGTTAAATTTGATAAGGTTAAAGTAAGACTTATTAGCACGGGGACCCACTTGATTCACACCGTCAAGTATGTTAACACTGTGTTAGAATGACAGAAGCTAACTAATAAAACTATCTTGACAAATAATAAACTTGTTTTCTTTCACCCAGACAGTCATGTTAACATCTCCGGCTCTCAGTGTTTAACATTTATAAACATTGGTGGATTACAACAGATATTTCCAGGCATAAGTTTCATTACACTCCTGTTCGAAGCTGTTGCAAACCCTGAAATGCGACACTGCACTGGATAGCCAAGCGGTTCGGAGTCTCATTCCAACAGTTCAAAGCCTCAGAAGGTTTAATGGAGTTTTTCTCGTGGTGATCTGCATGACAGTCTGAAGGTTAGTGTAACTTGAGTAGAACTTAATCTTTAATACCAATAAATTATAAATAAAAGATGAAATTAAATTCTCAATAATATAATGTAAGATTGGGTATACTTGTATAACCTACATTTATAGAATTACTAATGGAATATTGATTCTGGTAAAATTTCATGTAATAGATGGAAAAGATAAAAGCAAAATGGTTGTTGATCTCAGGGTGAAGTCTTGTTGTTTACCAGCGAAGCGACGGAGGCGACGAAGAGACCTTGACAAGAAGCGCTCGTCATCTCGCGAGGTGAAGGACAAGCCCGCGTCACCTGTCCTATAAAACCCACACACTCCACCTCCCGAAGGCTGCTCACACGCTGCCACTGGGTCGTCAGGAGAGTTCTTAAGACTAGCGGGTTTTTACAGTCTCGGTGGGGTGATAGAGATAGTCAGGGAAGAGGAACTTACTGTTGTAGACGAGTGAGTGACGGTGGTGTGGTGTAGCGAGTGACGGTGGTAAGTTATAGCGAGTGACGGTGGTAAGGTATAGCGAGGGACGGATTCTGAAGAGGTGAGTCATGCCGCCTATAGATCTGTTTAGTGGGTTGTCGTTACTGTTGTGTTGTGATTCTTTTAACGCCAACAACGACACCGCGACCACCACACTACCCATCACGACACCAACTACTACTCCCGCCACGACACCGACTACGACCCCTGCCCCTCTACTTCCCATGGCCCTCAGGACAGAAGCCCATCATGAAGACGTCACCCACTCAGAACCTGTCAACGACGAGGTGGACGATGACGACGAAGTGGAATATGTAAACACGGTGGTGGTGAAACTCCCTAGCAAAATGGCAGGAGGCGGAGTGGGGCATTTAGTGCAGATCAACGTGTTTATAGGCGGGCTGAAGGAGGCGCTGCAGGGGGGGAACCTTCCACAAGATATACAGCTCATCATGGATATCCTCAATTCCTCGTGTAACCAAGAACACCTGCAGGGAATTCAAGAAGACCCTCAACAAGACACAAATTCTGATGACCTGCATAACACCACCATCTCCCTCTCTACTTCTGAAGGTGGTAACGGCGAGTGTAACCCGTCCGTAGAGAAGGAGAAGGGGGCAGGAAAAGAGGAAATGATGAAGGGAGCAGAGGAGGAAGAGGATAAGAAGCTAGCGTGGTGGCAGAGGAACATTGTGTACCAAGTGTACCCTCGTTCCTTCCAAGACACTGACGGCTCCGGTAAAGGCGACCTCAAGGGTGAGTGTTGGATGACCTCGTGTTGACGGTACGAATGAGAGCTGGCTGGTCATATGGGCCCCAGTCTTAGACCCCAGTACTAGTAGACCCTAATCCTAGTAAACCCCAGTCATAATAGACTCCAAATCTTACCTAATAGACACTAAAGTAAACCTGATGAGTCAATTGACTAATAGCTGACATAAACAAAATAGACCAAACTCACTTCCTGTGAAAACTGAATGTACAAATAACTTAAAATAATCAATAATATTTAAAAGCAAAATAAACTAATAAAAAGACGGAAGGAATAACAGAGGTAGTAAATATTATTGTTTTCCTCTTATTCAGGAAATTGTTGTAAAGATAAAATTCAATCGGTATTTTTGGGGGTAATAATTTCACTGATTTTAAATATGGAAAAATATTGTTAAATTGTGACTTTTAAGAAGTTTATGACACCAGCATTTTCCCTCTGGTATTATAACTGTGTGTGTGTGTGTGTGTGTGTGCGCGCGCGCGCGTGCGTGCGTGCGTGCGTGCGTGCGTGCGTGCGTGCATGTTGTGGACTAAGCTGTAAAGAAGTCATCATCATTAGTTGTGTTGCAGGTATAGCGATGAGGGCAGACTACCTGCAGCAGCTGGGTGTGGCTACAGTGTGGCTCAGTCCTATATTCACCTCCCCCATGGCTGACTTCGGCTACGACATCTCTAACTTCACTGACATCGACCCTATCTTGGGCGACATGCAAGACTTTGACTTCCTCTTGCAGGAGTTCCACGCCAGAGGTGAGTGGTGACTTCCTCTTGATGTAGTTCCACGCCAGAGGTGAGTGGTGACTTCCTCTTGATGGAGTTCCTCGCCAGAGGTGAGTGGTGACTTCCTCTTGATGGCGTTCCTCGCCAGAGGTGAGTGGTGACTTCCTCTTGATGTAGTTCCACGCCAGAGGTGAGTGGTGACTTCCTCTTGATGGAGTTCCTCGCCAGAGGTGAGTGGTGACTTCCTCTTGATGTAGTTCCACGCCAGAGGTGAGTGGTGACTTCCTCTTGATGTATTTCCACGCCAGAGGTGAGTGGTGACTTCCTCTTGATGGAGTTCCACGCCAGATGTGAGTGGTGACTTCCTCTTGATGGCGTTCCTCGCCAGATGTGAGTGGTGACTTCCTCTTGATGGCGTTCCTCGCCAGATGTAGTGGTGACTTCCTCTTGATGTAGTTCCACGCCAAGTGAGGATGTTGACTTCCTCTTGATGGGTTCCACGCCAGATGTGGTGATGGAGTTCCACGCCAGAGGTGGTGGTGACTTCCTCTTGATGGAGTTCCACGCCAGAGGTGAGTGTTGACTTCCTCTTGACGATGTAGTTCACGCCAGAGTGATGTTGACTTCCTCTTAATGGGTTCCTCGCCAGAGGTGAGTGGTGACTTCCTCTTGATGGGTTCCTCGCCAGAGGTGGTGGTGACTTCCTCTTGATGGGTTCCGCCAGATGTGAAAGTGTTGACTTCCTCTTGATTGCGTTCCTCGCCAGATGTGAGTGGTGACTTCCTCTTGATGTAGTTCCCGCCAGAGTGGTGACTTCCTTCTTGATGTAGTTCCTCGCCAGAGGTAGTGGTGACTTTCTCTTGATGGCGTTCCTCGCCAGAGGTAGTGTTGACTTCCCTCTTGATGAGTTCCTCGCCAGAGGTGAGTGGTGACTTCCTCTTGATGGAGTTCCGCGCCAGAGGTGAGTGGTGACTTCCTCTTGATGTAGTTCCACGCCAGAGGTGAGTGGTTACTTCCTCTTGATGTAGTTCCACGCCAGAGGTGAGTGGTGACTTCCTCTTGATGGAGTTCCACGCCAGATGTGAGTGGTGACTTCCTCTTGATGGCGTTCCTCGCCAGATGTGAGTGGTGACTTCCTCTTGATGTAGTTCCACGCCAGAGGTGAGTGGTGACTTCCTCTTGATGTAGTTCCTCGCCAGAGGTGAGTTGTGACTTCCTCTTGATGCGTTCCTCGCCAGAGGTGAGTGGTGACTTCCTCTTGATGGCGTTCCTCGCCAGATGTGAGTGGTGACTTCCTCTTGATGGAGTTCCTCGCCAGAGGTGAGTGGTGACTTCCTCTTGATGTAGTTCCTCGCGAGAGGTGAGTGGTGATTTCCTCTTGATGTAGTTCCTCGCCAGAGGTGAGTGGTGACTTCCTCTTGATGTAGTTCCTCGCCTCAAATCACTTGGATAAAATAATAAGTTAAATGATATTGAAGAAAAGTTCACAAAACTTGAGGTAAAAAATAACTTGGTAATTTTTCGTTGACGGGACGTTTGGCAGACCTGAAGGTGGTGCTGGACTTGGTGCCCAACCACACCAGCGACCAACACGAGTGGTTCACCAAGTCTGTCCTGCGGGAGGATTCTTACACTGACTACTATGTCTGGGCTGACCCTAAAGGCTACACTCCTTCCGGCACCCCCATCCCCCCTAACAACTGGGTGAGTCAACCATCCTCCCTAACAACTGGGTGAGTCAACCATCCCCCCTAACAACTGGGTGAGTCACCATCCCCCTAACAATCAACCATCCCCCAAACAACTGGGTGAGTCAACCATCCCCCAACAACTGGGTGAGTCAACCATCCCCCCAAACAACTGGGTGAGTCAACCATCCAGAACAACTGGGTGAGTCAACCATCCCCAGAACAACTGGGTGAGTCAACCATCCCCCCCCCCGAACAACTGGGTGAGTCAACCATCCCCCCAACAACTGGGTGAGTCAACCATCCCCCCTAACAACTGGGTGAGTCAACCATCCCCCCTAACAACTGGGTGAGTCAACCATCCCCCCTAACAACTGGGTGAGTCAACCACCCTTCACACTATCTAAGGTATTCCTTCACTTTTTCCTCAAAACTTGAATAAGAAAATATCTTATAGCAAGTGCTGCGTTGATCCACTATTGTATATGTTATGGTAAATAAAGCTTGTATCCCACCGCTGCCACCAGTGTAAGGTGAAACGTGAATTTGTATTCTTAGTCGTATATGTACAGGCAGTTTAGATTAAAATTAAAACAAAGGAAAACATGTATGTGCGCCCAATTATGAATGTTATTAATTCATAAGCTTATGATTATGTTTGATGTTACATTCTCTTTATTTATTAAAGCTTAAATTTCTTTGATATAAGTTATAGACCGGAGCTTAATGAATTGCTACTTTTAATAAGATAACGGAAATATCTTTGACACTTTATGAGACTCTTGTGATATAAACTTTAAGCATAAAAACAAAGAGGCAGGTTTTTAGATGCATCAAAGGCAGTAAACATAACATAAGAAAATAAACCAAGGCTGGAGACTTTTAAGGGGAAACTAGTGAAAACAATTACCCACAAAAAATTCCTTTAAAAAAAAGTTAATCAATAAGTTAATTGATATAAAACAAAAATAAAACTGATGATATAATGAAAAAAAAAAGCAACACTGATTTCATTATTCAACTTTTACTGGAATTGCTTGTGGATTAATGCAAGATACACGTCAATATTTTGCTTTATTACACCATAAAAACACGAATTAGTGATCCCAGTTAATTTAATAGTGCGGTAACTTGTGGGTGTTGATGCAGAGTTACGAGCAAAGTTAGTATTAATAAAAACAATGGGAGGGGTTTGGGAGCGCTGCCACCAAATATTACCACAACGCAATGGCGGACAGAACTTTTACTCGGGTGCTTCTGGTCCCTGTTGTTCCCTGTTGACTCATGTCCAGACCACTTAAACAGTAAGGTAACGGGGCTCAATATATCCAGACTTGAAGCAGGACCAGGCACGTAAACTGAGCATATGTCTCCTAACATAACTTAACCCGGAACTTAACTCAACCATATGTCCTTAATGTAACTTAACCCAACTTATTCCATCTATACCCATCAGAATAGGGACTCATTAGTTCAGGGTCCCATTAATCAAGGGCCCATATGGATAGGGCCCCATTTGAACAGGCCCCATTGGATCAGGGCCCCAATAGATTAGGGCTCCAATAGGACAGGAACCCCATTTGACTTGTAAGGTGATGTACGCATTGATGTGGGGCAGCTGAGTGTGCTCCGGGGGACGGCGTGGCAGTGGGTGGAGGAGCGGCAGCAGTTTTACCTCCACAAGTACAGGAAGGAGCAGCCGGACCTCAACTACCGTAATCCCGCCGTCAGGAGCCACATGAAGGTGAGTCAACAGGGTGGTGCTCCTGAAGGAGGTGTGTGTTTATATGTGTTGTTGATGTGTGTTTAAGACCTTAGACAACAGGTGACATATTGATTCATAGAACATAATATTGATTACCAGAAGTTGATATGTTGGCGAATGGTGTTGTAATAGTACTTCAATTGACTGACTGACTGGTTGTTTGTCTGAGTGAATGACTATTTGCTTGCCTGACTGATTGAATGCTCACTACCCACCTCCCCTCCCATCCCCTTCTCTTCCTCGTGTTCACTGACGGCTGCCGTGACTATTCAACGATAAAACGTATACAATTCTGAAAGAGAGTGAACCGAATTCATTCTCTCTCCTGTCATGATCTGTTCGTCGGAAATTTCAGTTGGAAGGGAAAATTCTTCTCTTTTTTTTTTGTCTCTTCCGTTGTCTGTTTTTTTTAGGGTATCTCTTGTTTTGTCATGCTTTTTTATGGCTCACTCTGTATTTTCGTTTTGTTTTTGAAGGGGTTTACTGAAAGACGAGTCATAGTTGATTGGAAAGATGTTAGAAGGTAAATAAAAATGTTTGACAAGTTTACAAGTTGAGAGAGGTAAGCAACACCACCACTATTACAACCCACCACGACCCACCAGAACCCACTATAACTCATCACGACCCACTATAACTCATCACGACCCACTATAACTCATCACGACCCATATAACTCATCACGACCCACTATAACATCATCACGACCCAATTATAACTCATCACGATCCACTATAACCCATCACGACCCAATTATAACTCATCCACTATTGACCCACCACGACCCACCAGAACCCACCACGAGCCACCAGAACCCACCACGAGCCACCAGAATCCACCACAACCCACCATAACCCACCACGATCCACCATCATGTTACTGACAGATCCAGTATAAGAATAATACAGACGCTTGTCGACTTTATCCCTAGCGGCGAGATGACTGAAGCATCTATATCATATGAACAGAAAAGGACCCAATAACCTTTTTCTCTCTTTTTCTTTTCCGTTCTTTCTATCCTCCCTCTTTATCTCTCTTGCCCTGCTTCTCTTTCGCTCTGTTTGTTTCTCTCTCTCTTCCTTCCTCTCCCTTACTTACTTACTCGTGCATTCATTCCTTAGTCTAGTCATACAATATCTCTACGGGGTTTCGTCTCTCTCTCTCTCCACACATCTGCAGGAGGTATTAAAGTTCTGGTTAGATCGAGGTGTTGACGGTTTCTGCCTTGACGCCCTGAAACACCTGTACGAGGCAGAGGACTTGTACCAGGACGAACCAGTGAGCCTCAAGTCAGGTGTGAGTGATCCTCTGCAGTATGAGTACCTGGAGCACACCCTCACCGTCAACCAGCCGGAAGTGTTCCAGATTGCCCTGAGGGAGTGGAGGGATCTGATCGACCAGTACCCCGACAGGTAGGTCATATTTTTATCTAATTTACCTGAACTGAATTTAACCTAATCTTACATAACTTATCCTATTCTACTTATTACCGAACATAACCTTATTTTTTACTTATCTAGACCGAATTTAATCTTTCTCAGCTTACGGTAACTTAATTAGACATCAGAATTTCTTGTTTTGTGGTTCAGCAGTTGAGTGGATAATGCATTAGTCTCCTGAGCCAAAGATCGCTAGTTCGAGTTACGCATCAGGCCACTATGTGAGGCGCTCCCACTCGACCCAGCTGTGATCTATTCTGGCGAGGAGGTGGTGGCTGCCCCAGTGCTCGTTGTTTGGTCACAAAACTAGTTTCCCGTCGACCAATCAGCTTCCCGTTGTTTGCTTACTTAAAATAAAGGTTTAACGCACCGTACGAACCATAGACAACGAAATCAACGGTAACGAGAGATCCACTAAAACTTCCCCGTTGTTTACCGAGACTATTGAAGGCAGAATTTATCTACCTACCTACCTACCTATCTACCTATATATTTATCTGGATCTAATTATCTACTCCCCCCAGGTTCCTGATAGCCCAGCTGTATGACCCAGACATCAGCGAGATCATGAAGTACTACGGGACCTCCTCAGCGCCTCTCTCTCACTTCCCTTTCAACTTCCGGTTTATACAGTATCTCAAGACCCGCGATGACGTCACGGGCCACAACCTACTGGCCTACATCACCGAGTGGCTGGACAACATGCCGGCTGGAATGTGGCCAAACTGGGTGGTGAGTGTGGCCAAGGTGTTTGGTGGTGAGTGGTTAAATATCTATATCACCAGTGAGTACATTTGGACGAGTAAATAAACGAGTGTAGTTTGTGTAATTAACAAAACAACGTCATGATCTACTTATAAAACTCACCGTGACCTTAAATATTGACCTTTTGACCTAATGACCTGGCAACTGTAGGGAGTGTCTCACTGTGTGTGTGTGTGTCCTATAAGAGGATTCATTATTTACTAAGTGGCACCTCCATCAGCTGAGTAACCATGGCAACAGTCGCTTGGCGTCTCGGGTGGGCGGGGACCTTGTGGACGCCCTCCACATGATGACGATGCTACTGCCGGGGACCCCGATCACCTACTACGGCGATGAGCTGGGTACTGTCCCTCCCTCCCTCCCTCCACTACTACTACCTACCCTCCCCCCCACTGTATTTTTTCAGCAGTTTTCGACACAAAACACCAGAAGTCTTACAAGAGTGTCTTAGAGAGTTAAGCAAGGGACCTTATCCATTATTCATGTAGAGACAGCCGAGGTGCTCTTGTGAGACGGTGAGATAACACATACGGTGCAAGACACACAAAACACATATGATGTAAAGTGACTCGCATAGTACATAGGGCGTAAGACTCGCTGCTAACACATACGGTACACGAGTCTGTCATAACACATACGATGCATTAGACTCACATAACACATACGATGCAATAGACTCACATAACACATACCATGCAATAGACTCACATTACACCTATGATGCTCTCCCAGGTATGGAGGACACATATGTTACGTGGGAGGAGACGCAGGATCCTTATGGCAAGAACTTCGGCCCTACGAGATACCAGGAGGCGAGTCGTGACCCCAGTCGGTCACCTATGCAGTGGGACGACTCCCATAACGCAGGTACGACTCATCTATGACTCAACGCAGGTATGACTCACCTATGACTCACATAACGCATGTACGACTCACCTATGACTCACATAACGCAGGTACGACTCGTCTATGACTCACTATACAGGTAGACTCATAAAACACAGATACGATCAGGCTTTTAGTTAATTAGTAATATATTAAATCATTAAAGCTGTCGACATTTCCTCTGAATTACCACAATTTTTTATTTTTTATTTCGTACTTTTTTTTCCAAAGTTAACTTAATTATCAAACGTCTGACATAGAACACATTATGATATTCAGATACAAAATTATATTAGTTTGTGTTCATTATTTTAAAGGGATTTTGTGTATTTAGGGATTTTATGTAGTACTTAACTATGTTCTGTGTTTTAATGTATTTGCTTTGACCACCAGTTAACTTAACCTAACCTAAACTAACTTAACCTAAGCTAACCTAATCATCAAATATGCTAGGTTAGGTTCATTTGGCACCAGTCAGTCAGTCAGTAGTGCCAACAGTGTCAACAGTCAGTAGTGTCAACAGTCAGTAATGCTAACAGTGCCAACAGTCAGTAGTACCAACAGTGCCAACAGTCAGTAGTACCAACAGTGCCAACAGTCAGTAGTGTCTACAGTCAGTAGTGTCAACAGTCAATAATGCTAACAGTGCCAACAGTCAGTAGTGTCAACAGTCAGTAGTGTCACCAGTCAGTAATGCTAACAGTGCCAACAGTCAGTAGTGTCAACAGTCAGTAGTACCAGTCAGTAGTGCCAACAGTCAGTAGTGCCAACCCTCCTGCCCCCAGGCTTCAGCTCTGCCAACAACACGTGGCTCCCGGTGAACGACAACTACTTGACGGTGAACGTGAAGGCGCAGATGGCGGCGCAGGAGAGTCACCTGCGTCTCTACCAGCGCCTGGCGAAGCTGCGTCAGGAGGTGACCTTCACCCACGGGAACCTGACTTTCCCCGTCGTCACCCAGCAGGTGTTCTCCTTCCTCAGGTGAGATGTTACCCCCTGCAGGTGCCGCCTCATGAATCTGGCAACTATAAATAATTAAACTTCTATTATTCTCGGTATATAGACTAATTAAACGAGTTCTATAGTCAGTACTCTTCCTGCCATACCTGAGTCACACAGCCTTTAGTCTCTATGACCAAAGGACCATTGAGTCGAACCAACAACCATTACTCAATCGTCGCCTCAAAAGTGCCAGCCTTCTTTATGTCGTGACTTGAGCTAGTGTGGGGGATGGGAGCTGGGGAGGGAGAGGAGGGATGGGAGAGGAGGGATGGGGGAGGTAGGGATGGGGACGGGGCTAGAAGATGTGGGATGGGGGAAGGGAGGGTAGAGGAAGGGTACTAAGATACGTTCTTTCTATCTGCAGTTATGGTGATAAAAAAAAGTAAACACAAGAATTCTTTGAGTAACTTCCGTAACTAAAGAAAACAGAAGTTCTACCGTAGTGTTATGGTCTCCCCCCCCTCCCTCCCTCCCCTCACAAGTCTTTGATGTTTATTGTGTATGGTATTTTTCTGTCTGTCTATCTGTAAGTTCTTCCTTCTACTTCTTGTTTATCCTCTCACTCTCCACTGCTCTTCATCTGTCATCTGCTCTCTCTCTCTCTCTCTCTCAGTAATTACAGGTGTGTTGGTATTACAGGAGCCACCTGAGGTCACACAGTTACCTGGTGGTCATCAACACCTCCCGGCAGCAGCTGTTGGTGGACCTGACGAAGGGCACAGGGCTGCCACCCACCGCCACCGTCCTCCTCCGCTCCGTCACCCACACTACCCCAAGGAGAGTCATCCACACTACCCCAGGGTGAGTCATCCACACTACCCCAGGGGGAGTCATCCACACTGTCACCCACACTGATAAGAGAGAGAGAGAGAGAGAGAGAGAGAGAGAGAGAGAGAGAGGGAGAGGTTCTCACTATATTATATCACTTCAGGTCAGAGGTCAACCTTGCTGTGTTGAGACTGAAGGCCGGTGAGGGACTCGTCCTTAGGCTGCCCACACAAGCTTGAAGCCTGATACAACCTGAAGCCTGATACAACCTGAAGCCTGATACAACCTGAAGCCTGATACAACCTGAAGCCTGATACAACCTGAAGCCTGATACAACCTGAAGCCTGATACAACCTGAAGCCTGATACAACATGAAAGTTCCACACCTGTGAGTCACCTGTCGTCTGCCTTATTATTGATTGAATTTACTAAACACGAATTATTATTATAAATTATATAAGAGTAAAACAAAATTAAAAGGAATTATTAAAGTTGATTATTTTTTTATCCTAGAAAATTAATTAACATTTAAGGTAATTTTTTGTTGACGTTCTGAAAAATTGTGAAAAAAGGTCCCAAATCATAAAATCCCATGTCTTTAACTTCACTGTTTTTGTAGGTCTAAAAATCTTATATTATCAACTTAAAAAAAATCCTTTATATTTCTCCAGTATTGCCACCTAAAAAAAATCTATCTCGCCACTACAGTATTACCAACTATGTAAGTATGGGTCTGTCGACAGGATAAGTTACTACAGGTCCACAGGTGCAGGTAGTAATTACAGGTCCACAGGTGCAGGCAGTAATTACAGGTCCATAGGTGCTGGTAGTAATTACAGGTCCACAGTTGCAGGCAGTAATTACAGGTCCACAGGTGCAGGTAGTAATTACAGGTCCATAGGTGCAGGCAGTAACCACAGGGACCAATACTACCTGACAATTATATTATATTTGAATCATAATTGAGGTATTAATTTAAAGCATTTTTTGTTTAATTCCACCATTAATTGAAGAAAGTTTGGATCTCAATTTACTATTAATGAAAAGAATTTAATTATTAACCAGTAGTTAAATGAACAAAGACCAGAGGGTTTATTCTTTTTTATCAATTTGAAAAATTTTGTATAATTAAATATTTCCGTGTTTGATAATTTACCTGATAAAAAACTTAATTAAAAAAGTAAAAGTTCTATTCGAGGAGAAAGTTGTGTTTTAAAAGGAGAAAGTCATAGGGTTATTTCAAGGTTATATTAGAGAGAAAGGGAGGTAGTCAGAACTCTCTCTCTCCCTCTGTCTTAATCTGTCTGTCTGTCTGTCTTTTTCTCTCTCCCTCTCTCTCTTTCTCTCTCTCTCTAAAGCCTTACTACTAGTTGCAAATACAGAATCTCCCAATACGTTGTTAACAGAATCGTGTTGTAATGTGTGTGTGGGTTTGAAACATTGTATATAAATAGACCCTCTAGTGTTTTATAAGGTCCAGTGTGTTTTAAAAGCAAACTATTAAACTGACCATGAAATTCTCCAAAGTTTAAATGGAGACTAAAAATTTTCTAACGATATAATATAATGTTTCCAATATGGTTTACTAAGTCACCTGTTGGAATAGTTTAATAAAATCTATAATACGTTTTAAAATATGGACTACATTAGCTAGTGGTTACAAGGGTTTCTAATATGTCAGTGTTATACTATTGTGGGATGTATATTAAAGAGCTTCACTATACTGACAGAAAGTGTAATTAGTCATACAAGGAAATGTTTTGGGTGTATATTCCTGAATGTTGATAATACATTGTCAACTGGAATTAGTTGTATTGAGTCAAATTCCCGTTCATAGATTGTTTTTGTTGTTGTTGTTGTTGTTGTTGTTCACATGTAACTTAATGACGCGAGAGACCTACGACCATTATACTCAGCTGACAACAGGATAAACATTTAGTTGAATGTTTATAAACTTGATGTACTCACTTGTGATCAATGTTTATGAGTACTGTTTCGTGTTGTGGATGAAGCAGATGAATGAAGCCTCGAAGCGGGTCGATAACATCATATTGTTTCGAGTTAATTAATTTGTCATATACTGTACAGTAATATCTTTAATAACCTTTTATGATTTAATTTAAGGATATATTAAATACATTTCTTTAATTGGGTAGTTTATGTTGAAATAATAATAACATAGAGACTAATAAGTTACTTTGTTGGTGATTATTTTGTGTTGGTCAATGACTCGTCACTTTGGTGGGCTTAAGTCGACGTGTTGGTTAGAGCTGCGACTGAGGTCCATTTAGTATGATCCTGGCTACTGTAGGGGTAAGTACTCTCTCTCTTTGTTGAGTTAACGTAGGCAGGTAAGTCTGTAGTCCTTTAGGATACCTACCTACCTCCTTACCTCCCTCACAAATATAAAATCAAATACAGCTCTTTGAAAAAAAAAGAAAAAGCATTTCATTAGTTTTGCTATTTTTAGTGAAATATCAAATTGATAATGAAATCATAACGAAATTTGGGAAATGAAATTAACCCCCCCCTCTAACCCCCTCTCCCTTCCCTCTACCACCCCCTCCTCCTCCTTCCCACCTCCCCCCCCACCCCCCCATCAATGGGTGTCCAATAACTGGAATAATTTTTAGAGAGAATTTCCCCATAACTTAATTACGTACATAAATACATATATATATATACACACACACACACACACACACACATACATACATACATACAAGGTAATTAAGATAGTCTCATATTTCAATTACCTGGAGTATAAAACAAATATATTTGTTTCCTGTAACCATTCTTCTGTTATGAGCCTTTGATGTGGTGTAGTGTGGTGAAAGTGTGGTGCAGTGAGTGTTATGGTGGGTGTTGTTGATGCCTGACCCCACAGAGAGGTAGTCGTGATAGATCTGGTCTGGTGAACGGTGCTTAAATATCTTTAATTATGTCAAAGGTCATTAATTCACAATAATTACTCGTTTTTTTTAATTGTGACCCCAGATCCATAATCAGCATGTAAAGTAGTTTTTTTATATGAAATTTAAATAAGCACTTTTTTGACCCCAACTGTCGGAAACCAAGGTAATTAGGTCAAGCGCATTTTTTACTTAAATCGATATTGTTTTTGGAAAGTGGGAACTGACGTGTTCATAACGTGCTGATATAGTGAAGATAGTCTATATCTTTAAGACTATGTATATAAAGGTGATTTAAAACTTACAAGCCCATCTATGAAACTATATAAGAAAATATACAATATGAATAATAATAACAATAAAAACAATAGTAATAACAACAAGAACAATAATAATTACAACAAATAATAAAAAACAACAACAAATAATAAAAATAACAACCAATAATAACAATAACAACAACAAATAATATTAACAATAACAACAACAAAATAACATTAACAAAAATAACAACAACACCACCACCAGCAACAACAACAATAACACCTTCAAAAAAACACCCCAAAAAAGGTATTACCAACTCACGCCCACAAGAGATCCTTCACCCACAACAACCTGAACCTTAGGCAAAACATCTCCTCCATTTCTCTTCACAAACGACAAAAGAAAAACCTCTCAGTATATCAAGTGACAACGATGACTCTTTAAAACTCCTACGTCAAAAATAATGCAAAAAGAAAAAAAAATAGTGCGTCGTTTGCCTAATGGTAGCATGACCCATTAATGAGGTGGTTAATGGGTTTGTCCTTAAGGGTGAATCTTCAATGTTGTTAGTATGGGAGTTATGACAGAGAGAGAGATAGAAAATGAAAGAGAGGGAAAGAATTAAAGCGAAAGAGGATGAGGAAGACAGACAGTGTGTGATAGTCTCTTGTCGTTCAAACTCCCACAACAAACTTGACTCAACCAAAAACCAGGAGTCATTTTCCACCTTGTTTCCCCTGGAGTCAAAATTGTCCCCCCTCAGCTGTCATGGTCCACCGTCTTTCCTCATAGTTTTCCTCACATCAGAAGCGTCTTGTCATCCTCAGTTTTCCCTCCATTAATTTCCTCCGACTCTGCTGTCATTAATTTTGTCTTAATTATTTTCCTCTTTGTTAATTTTCCCCTTCCTCCTCCTCCTCCTCCTCCTCCTTGTTATACCACGTCATCATCAGGTCATTAACAAACAATAAATAATTAATCACGGTATTTTGCATAAATTTTCATCCATTGGTTAAATTTTCTACTGAAACGCCAAATCCTCCCTCCTCGCTAGCCACCTTAACCTAACCTAAACTAACCTCCCCCATCCTTCATCACCTCCTCACCCCTCATTCATCACCCCTCACCTCCCTCCCCCATCCCTGCCCCCCTCCCCATCCCTCCTCACCCCTCACCTCCCTCAACCCTCCCCCATCACCTCCTCATCTTTACGCTAAAATAAGAAGTCATTTTGCTAACTCGAGTCAAGAACTTCCGACAGTGAATATTTTTATTTCATCTGACCTCCACTAACTCTGAGTCTGCCTCCACTTTAAATCATAATTACTTTTCAATTAAGCGTTGTAGAGAGTCGCCAGAATAGACTAATTGACTACCTAGTTAATTAGTCATCTCCAATTAACTTTGACGTATGTGTGTGTGTGTGATGTAAATAGTCATGTTCGTAAAATAATGAGGGGGTCTTTGATTTATTATTTACACTGTTTACACGTAATTGTAAAACAGTTTATAGGTGACTAATATATTTAATGGACTGTAAATCAACCAGGTGACTGACTGACTGACTGACTGACTCACTTACTTACCGATATTTCCTTTCATTCGTCTGTCATTATCTACCCCACCAATTACACCTCGGGTTCTGACACACACACACTTGAGTGACAGAACCGTCTTATTAACACATCATGAGAATATTTAAATGTTCTGTTCACCTCATAGTTAATTGCCTCACAGACCGGTGGCTCCAGTCAAACATGGGGGGAGAGAGGAGAGAGGGACTCGTACAGACAGACAAAGACAAGCAGAGAGTGTTTACAATTTGCGTCTAATTATTATTGCTGTGGTAGAGTTCAGAGCTGCTGTGTTAATGAGGATTTAAAAGGTCACAGGTCGCCGGTCATAGCCATCACCTGCCACTAATTACTATACCTACCTCCCCCTCCCCCCATAATTACCTGTCTATGATGTTTGAGTAAGGTGTATGAACAATGAATTAGATACATCATATACCATACACAACATGCATCATACATACCACACAACATACAACATAAACAACATACAACATAGACTACACAGCATACACGTAAAATTTGTATACAATGGTCACATTAAATTCTATAGACTCTTGTGTGTATAATCAAATCCTTTATATATTCACTATGACAACCAATATACTGTATAATAAATATATTTTCAATTATTTAATGACTTAACTACATAATCACAACGTTTAAACTACCCATTAGGTCGTTTAACAATCGAAGTGTTGTTGACAAGGCCAAGTGGGCGATAGGTCTTACGACACACAG